TCCACCTGGGGACGAGTGGATTCGGGTGGGTGCAAGACCCAAGACCCGGGTTTTAGCCTCTACGCCGGTTCATTCTGGCTCACAAGCCCATCCATCCTGGTTGCAGGTTGTGCGGAACGGTCGGAAACGGTACTATCCTCAGTTACCGGAGTCATTACAGCCTCATCTGGAGCTTTCCAATCGTTTTTCACCCTTGTCTACTGGAGCTTCTAACCTTCCACCTGGTGAAACTGCAGACCCGCCGGCAGCTGGCCGGGCGGCACGTTCTTCACCTCCGAGAGCGGCGTCCCACAAACCGGGCAGAAACTTCGCCATCCGGACGCAGCAGGTATCTGGGTCGTCTTCGTCTGACCGTCGCAGGCTGCTACTGAATGCAGTTATTCGCAGACGTTCTGGATCTGTTTATTCAGAAACCCGTCCTTCAGATGAGACTCAGCATAAGTTCCAGTCTGACGTTACAGCCACTCAGCCTGGTACCGCATCAGAAGCTACAGTTCAGCGCCAGCTGGGATCAGGACGTGGCGGTCCTGGTGCAGCTCCATCTGCTTTGGTCCTCGGGTGCTCTATGGTGAGGCATGTCCATTTTGCTGGTGCGAAAACTTTTTGCTATTCTGGTGCACGAGTATTGGATATTGATTCTAAAATCCCACTACTGCTGGACCAAAACCCTGCTGCTTCAGCTGTTATTCTACACATCGGCCACAACGACCTGAGGAACATGCAGTCAGAGATACTCAAATCTGATTTTAAGTGCATTATTGACACTTTTCTTCAATCAGATCAGCGACTCATACAGTGCGTTTACATGCAGCCAGTAACCCTTTTAAAACCCGAATATTCAAAATAACCCGGTTCCGCAGGTCCATGTAAACACCGCCAAAAACCCGGATATGCTCATAACCGTTTTTTTTAAAACCTGGTTACTACACCTGGGGTAACCCTTTCCTAACCCGAATGTTTGGTCGTGTAAACGCATATTGGAATATCCCCATCAAAGCGTGTGTTCTGCGCATGCTCTGTTCGCAAGGAATCTTGGACTTTTGAGTAGCGAGACGTCTTGTATGCGCCAGAACACCGGAAGTAAACAACAAGTTGGGAGCAACATGGCGAGTCGCGGCACAGCACCACACTTTTGGAGTGACGAGGAAACTAAAGCGCAAACAAACGCGGTCGCCATCTCTTCCGAACTGGGAAACATGTTGTTGTTTTCACGGATACCGGAACAAGAAGAACCAGAAATGACTCATATTGCGTCTGGACGTAGTCCATACGTCCTGACGCTTCCCCAACGTCCGCATTTACATCGGGTTATGCAAGTTAGAGGTAACTCTTTCTATTTATGCTTGTAAACGGGTTATTCTGATCAACTCAGAAACCCGAATACCGACCTTAACCCGATCCTAACCCGGATATTGGCTGCATGTAAACGTAATCATTATCTCTGGCCCTTTGCCTTGCCCCAGCTTCAGAGACGTCAAGTTCACTCGTGCTCTTCAGCTTCACACATGGCTGAAGTGCTACTGCTGTAAACTTGGCATTCTGTTCATGGACAACTTTATGGCCTTTATTAATCGCTCATATCTTTTTAAATCTGATGGGGTTCATCCAAACTCACTAGGGTCTCGTATCCTGACCAAGAATATAGAATTTACATTAACCTCATCCAATATAAATCTGGACTGATGTTCAGTGAGTCCACTCCATATTAGTGATTATCATTATGCATCACTGATGCCTGTTATTATTACCCATAGGCCTAATCACAGCAATTCTAAAGGGAAGTGCAGGAATCTAAACAATGTACATTTGGTTCGGACTCTGCCTTCTAGACCAAAACAAGATTACATCAAGATGTCCTTCCTTAATGTCAGATCAATAACTAATAAGTCTTTTATTGTAAACGACCTGATAACCACTCATTCTGTGGAACTTATGTTTTTGACTGAAACTTGGTTAGATCAAACTGGAACCGCTGTGCTCAAGCAGGCTGCGCCTCATAACTTTAATTTTATTCACACCACCAGATCAGGTAAAAAAGGAGGTGGAATAGCTGTTGTTTTCTCTGACTCTTATGGCTGCAAAAACATTAATTTAGGCAAATTCTTATCATTTGAATATCTTTCTATACCCGTTCAATGCAAGAATCCAATACTGATAATAAGTTTATCGTCCTCCAAAATCAAAGTGTGAGTTTTATTAGGAATTATCTGAATTACTATCGAAGGTTTCTATAGATTCTGAGCAGTTACTAATTTTAGGTGATTTTAATATTCATGTGGATAAACAGGAGGCCACAGAAGTGAGACAACTTTTTAGCATCCTTGATGCCTTCAGTTTAACTCAGCATGTATGTGGGCCTACGCACAACAAAGGCCACACTTTAGATTTAGTTATATCGAATTGTCTTAATGTTACTGCTCCTGCAATTATAGATATGGCTATATCTGACCATTACTGTTTATTTTTTAATGTTTTAGCTGTTCCTCACAGGCTGCATAACCCTCAGGAAGCCAAAAAAGTTTTATAGACAATAGCACAATAGAAAACTTTAAGGAAATTATATATAAATTGCCTGCGTCTACAAGATCGCAAACAGATGATCTAGTGATGACTTTTAACTTGAATTTGGAAAATGTAATGGATCAAGTTGCACCCTTTCAAACTAGACGCATAAAACAACTCAAACCCCCATGGGGGAAAGGGCTCAAAATCAAAGCCTTAAGGAGGAAATGTCGGCAGGCAGAACGACGGTGGAGGAAATCTAAACTTCAAATTCATTGGGGCGACGGTGGCACAGGAGCTAAGTGCTCGCCCCATAATTGGAAGGTTGCAGGTTCGAGCCCCGCTCAGTCTGTCGCTGTCGTTGTGTCCTTGGGCAAGACACTTAACCCACGTTGCCTGCTGGTGGTGGTCGGAGGGACCGGTAGCGCCACTGCTCGGCAGCCTCGCCTCTGTCAGTGCGCCCCAGGGCAGCTGTGGCTACATTGTAGCTCATCCCCACCAGTGTGTGAATGTGTGTGTGAATGGGTGAATGACTGATTGTGTTGTAAAGCACCTTGGGGGGTTCCATGACTCTAGAAGGCGCTATATCAAATACAGGCCATTTATCATTTACCTTTCATTATGATAATTACAGGGACCAACTCTATGAGTACAACAAAGAAACGAAAAGAAGCAGAATTGACTTCTTTTCTAAAATTAAATGAAAATATTAACAATAGTAAAGTCCTTTTTACTACAGTCAATAAGATTATTAATCCTCCTTCTAGTCTTCCTGCTGAGATGTCATATTTAGCTAAATGTGAGGAATTTGCATCTTACTTTAACAGTAAAATTGTGAACATTAGGCAGAATATTTCCAGTACCGCACTCTGTACTATGACTCATTTTGAGCTTTTAACTGGTAAAGCACTAGATATCCTGATTAAACAACTAAAATCGTCCACTTGCTGCCTGGATCCTATTCCAACAATCTTTTTAAAAAATATTTCCCCGTGTCAAATCTGATGTTTTGGAAATCAATAATTTCTCACTTCAATCAGGAATGTTTCCCAGCGCGCTAAAAATAGCTGCCATTAAACCCTTGTTAAAAAAGAGTGGCCTTGATCCAACAGCGTTCTCCAATTATAGACCGATCTCAAACTTACCGTTTCTTAGTAAACTTCTGGAGAAAGCAGTTTTTATTCAGATCAATCGTTACCTTATATCAAATAACATCTTTGATACTTACCAGTCCGGTTTTCGCAGTAACCACAGTACAGAGACAGCTCTCATTAAGGTTGTTAATGACCTACACATAAGCACGGACTCTGGCAAAGTAACTGTTCTTGTCCTTCTGGACCTTAGTGCTGCATTTGATACAGTTGATCATGACATTTTGTTAGAGAGGCTAGAACACTGGGTTGGTTTCTCCGGTCCAGTTCTTAGTTGGTTCCAAACATACCTTAGAGATAGCCAGTCATTTATGTCAGTTGGGGGGTTTAACTCTAAAAAATGAGTGGTTACTTGTGGTGTTCCTCAAGGTTCTATCCTTGGTCCGCTATTATTCAACCTGTACATGCTTCCTCTTGTGCACATTGTTCAGAGGCACAATATTAATTATCATAATTATGCAGATGACCTGCAGTTATATATTTCATTGTCTTCTGGTAATACAGCTCCTCTTCACTCTCTTATACAATGTATCAAGGATACGGATGCCTGGATGTCTGAAAATTTCTTACATTTAATTTGATGACTCGCTAAACCTCATTAAACATTTAGCTAAACTTATTTTACAAGACAGCCATCACAAATTTCAAAGACACTTAATTAGGTTTCTTTTACCGTAACATCTAAGCACATATTTCATCCTTCAGTGTCTCAGATGATGTCACCTTAACTCAGCATGTGTAATCATTTGTTCTGCATCATCCTAGTAGTAGAAATATAGTAATAAACTATATTTTTTGCTAAAGAGCTAGCTGCTTTTTACCTGCCTGTTTTTCCTTCAATCAAGCAGAGGTATCTACATACATTATGTGTGCAGTGCATGCACTGTGGCTTTACTTGGACAGGACAATAGGTTTTAGAGAAAAAAAGCAGCATCTTTCCCCACTCTTTCTACCATTTTATGATATTCCAGCAGCGTCCATATCACATCAGTTAGACATCTGTACTAAACCCAACTGCAACCAATAAGAAACATGATATCCCAGCTTATTATTTATTAATGAAAAAAAGTAAATCCAAACTTTTCACTGCATTCAGTATATACTTGCTCAATCGAGTTTAATATTTAGACATTTAAAAATCAAAGCCTGTCAAAAAAAAGTTGTGAGAATACATTTTTAGAGCACAAAAAATATTCTATTTTTTTCTTGATAACAAATCAAACATGTGAGGAAGCAATTACATAACAAAAAGGGAAACCACCACAACGCATTTGCACACACAGAAAAAAGCTGATTATGAAAGGTAAAACAAGCTTGGGATGAGGAGACAAGAGGAAAGTACAGTACCTTTTACTCTAGTGTCCGGATTGTGAGCTTTGTAAAAGTGGAACAAAGTGGGACAGAACAAATAACGAATAGAAAGTATTTAGTCTCAGGGAAAAGAAAACAGTAACATCATTCATCACCACATTCACTGGAATTTAAAATGTTTTCTTCTTAGAAGAAAATCTAAATGTTGCCAGTATGACTAAACTACAAGAGTATTTCAAAGACATTTTTTTCTGTGAGCTGTTATTTGAAAAATGTGACTAAAATATTTCTTCATCATCTATATTTTTTAAACATTTTCTAAAAGCTTTTTTATGTTTTAACTTTTTTTTTGTTTTGTGAAGCGCCTCGTGATTTTTATCTTGAGAGGCGCTATAGAAATGATATTTTCTTCTCCTTCTTCTTATATAGTACTTTCCAACTGCCAGGAGGCAAACCAAAGTGCCGCACATGCATAAAAAACCTTCAGTGAGCTTTCAAACACAATATAACTTAGAATGTCTTACTTTTTGTCTGTTAGAAGTTAGTTTTTAATGAATATGCCAAAATATACCTGGTGTATAAAGACACTCACTTATTTGTTTTTAATATGTTGCAGTTTTTAAGATGAGGATACTGTAAGTGTTAAATAGCGCAGCATCAGGACGACACCACTTGGCTGGTCCAATGAAGAGCTCGACAGTACTGCTGTTGGTTTTGTCGTCTAACACAGGAAAGGGTATTCCACAGTTCAAACAACTCGTAACAAAATTAAATTATTTAGATGTTTCATTCTCATTTGGGAACTTTTCTCTCTTGAGAACATTACTGGGGCTGTCTCACATGTGAAATGCCCAAAAACATGTGTTACTGTGTAAGTCTGTTCCTGTCTGTGTGTTATCCTGTGTCGCTGTGTGTGTCCACTCACCAATGTTACAATGCTCCCCTGTCCATCCTTGGTCACACTCACACTTCCCGTCCTTACAGACTCCATTTTTGTTACACAGAGGATGGCAGGCCTTTTGGTCACATGCACTTCCTGTCCACCCATCCTCACAGCGACACACACCACCATAGCACACTCCATGACTGCCACAGGCCATAGCACACTTTTCTGTGGAACAACCAAACCAGAATCGTAAAAAAAAAAACGCATTAAACCAAGAACCCTCAGAGATGAGGAGCAAGTTCACCAGGAGTGGGTGAAACTCTAATTAATTTGAGTTTGGTTACGCTAATGAGTAACCAGTGGTAGACTAAACAGTGGTAGTGGTAAGCTAGTTACATCTCACTCATCAGTTGATTTGTGTCCTTTGGTTTGTTTCATATTTCAGCTTAAATCCTTTCCTGTTCTTAATGATCATTTCTAACGATTCAATTCATGACTAAATGAATCATCCAGATCTTTTTTACAGTACTGTATAGAAACCAGGAGACAATCAAATGAAAACAAAAGATAGAAATATCCCACCCAGAGAGCAATCTGGCCCAGTCCAGTTCTGATCACATGCACAAGAGCTGGTCTCTGTGTTGTAGGCTCCGTGGCCTGAGCACTGATCCGGACACATGGCTTTGGCGATCTCACAGCTCGATCCACCCCATCCGGGCTGGCAGTGACACTCTCCATGAATACACACGCCGTGGACTGAACAGCTGGGCTCAATGCAGTCAACTGGAACCAGAAATCACCACACTGCTTTAGAGGCTCAATCTAATGTAATACTTCAGAACAATATGGAAGCCCTGAAATGTCACTGTAAAATAGATTTGGTAACGCACAATAAGGGTCCCTTTATTAACAATAATGTTATTTTTGACTATGAATGGTCCTTGAGGTTAAGACAAAGCGCCAGGGGGAAGGAGTCTGCTTAGTAATGCATTACATAATATGGTTAAGCAGTTGGTAAAACTTTATTTAATAGTTTATTAATGCTTAATAATGCACTAAGTAACATCAATAAAGAGATTCTTATTGTAACATTAAAGTGTGTATTTCTGTTATACCTTTTCGGTCCACTAGCCATTGTCAGTTCAGAAAGTAAGAAGTTGTTCATTTTACCATAAATCTGGCTCTAAAATATGTTTTCTGGTGTTTTTTGGGTGAGAAATTAGACATTGAAAGTCCATAAATGAAGTCACCCATTTTGAAATGAGCCTACTTTTTAATTCACTGTGGTAGTTTTAGAGACTAAAAAGCCATTAACTATTGCATCCGATCACAGGAGTAGTGGCTCAGGCAGTCCGCAGGGAACAGCTTGATCTCGGGAGGAATGCTGTCGGTTTACCTCTGCTGTGAGGAACAAAATAGCGCACGTAAAAAATGAGCATTTTTGCGCTGCCCCAAGATGCATGTGATTGTCCAAATAATTTCCATCCTCCTTCTAAAACTCACATTAGGCCTATGGCCTAGTGGTTAGAGCAACTGCCTTAGATTTCAGTTTGTCTTGAACGCAGTTTAATTCCCCGTGACAGCAATGAGCCATTATTCATAAACTTTTGATGAACCTGCATGATTTCCTAAATGGAAATCGGCATTGGTGGCCATAACCTCTGATGAGCATGGTCTATGTAGAATCAGCCCTTAATATTTTGTGCAAAATTGGTTTCCATTTCATAGGATTTCAACATGTAGAAAGCCTATTTAGCAAAAAGTGCCAACATGCAGGTGGATCTATGAAGGTGGAGGGATGAAATCCAAATGAAATTATAGATCAGGAGTAAGAAAGAAAACATCAAAACCAGGGGAGGAGGGTGTTGGAACAAAATAAAAAATATATACTTTGTGGGAGCAAACATGCCAGCTGCTGTTCATGAGAAAGAAGGGAAATAATTGTCTAGCTGTGGTCTTTAAATTTTACAGCTGCCATCATTTTTCTTTCAGATTTATTAATAAATCCCTTGCCAATTAATAGCTACAGTTCCTTTGAACATCTTATTCTTAAATTTTCCTAATCCAGATTGCAAAACTGTAAAACCACTCTTGCTTGTAGTTTTGTATCGTCCACCAGGCCCTTACTCTGAGTTTTTGGATCAGATCTCTGATTTTTTATCTGATTTGGTGCTAAATACTGATAAGGTAATTGTAGTGGGAGATTTTAACATTCATGTGGACATTGAAAATGATAGCCTCAATGTAGCCTTTAGTAATATCTTAGACTCAATTGGTTTTACCCAAAGAATGCATAGCTCCACCCACTCCTGCAATCATACATTAGACCTTGTGCTGACTTATGGCACAGAAGGTGAGGAAATAACGATATTTCCACATAATCCAGTACAGTCGGACCACTTTTTGGTAACTTTTGAGTTTATTATAACTGAGTTCTCGAGACATGGAAATAAATTTCACTATCTCTATCTGACAATGCTGTTGCATCTTTTAAATGAACTGTTCCATCTTTACTGTCTTCAACATCTCAGAGCAACGTAGCAGAGGGCAATATTTTAATTTCTAGCCCTTCACAAATTGATGATATAGTTCATAAAGTTACTTCTTCTTTACGTTTGGCATTAGATGATGTTGCCTTGGGATTCCCCGGAGAAGCTGGTCCAAGTGGATGGGGAAAGGGAAGTCTGGGCCTCTCGACTTAGGCTACTGACCCCGTGACCCGACTCCGGATAAGCGGATGAAAAGGGAACGATGGATTAGATGATGTTGCCCCTTTAAAATTTAGGGAGATTAAGCACAGGAAGTTGGCTCCCTGGTTTAATTCTGATCTATGTACTTTAAAACAGAACTCTAGAAAATTGGAGAACATGGCACTCTACACATAGGGAGGAGTCCTACTGATCCTGGAAAAATAGTCTTGTGCTTTATAAAAAAAAGTTTTGACAAGCTAGAATCACATATTTTTCATCACTAATTTAAGAGAATAAAAATAATCCTAAATTTATTTTCAGTACAGTTGCCAAACTTACACAGAATCATAGTTCTGAACCATCTATTCCCTTATCACTCAGCAGCAATGGCTTTGTGTCACTAAGGATTTTCCCCAAATAAAATTAATTTTATTAGAAACACAATTCCTAATGCAATTTATTCTTCATCTGTGAGGAAGCATCAGAGGTAACCGTAGAACCTCATTTGTGTTTGAACTATTTTGATCCAGTTGAGCTTTCAAAGTTGTCAAAAATATTAGCTTCATCTAAACCTTCAACTTTTATTTTAGATCCAATCCCATCCAAATAATTTAAAGATGCATTTCCTTTGGTTACTGCCCCCATTTTAGATCTAATCAACCAATCAACCAATCAAATTAACCAGCTCAGTGGCCTAGTAGTAGAATGTCCGCCCTGGGACTGGGAGATCGGGGTTCGATTCCCGGTTGGGTCATACCAAAGACTTTAAAAATGGGACCCACCGAACAACAGAAATACAAAAGATGGATAAAAGAAGCCATAGAGATAAGGAGACGTGGATGTGGGACTATGAACAGGGACGATGGAGTTTACATGTTGGATCGCGCATGGGATTGCGTCGTCGGAGATGGGAGAGCGGGCAGCAGAGACCGACAACGTCCTCTGCTGCCCACGGATAAATGGGGAAGGAAGTGACGCCACCATCAGCGTCAGCCTGAGGAAGTTTGCAGCCGCAAACGAAACGTAGCGGGAAAACAGGTAAACAAAACTGCGCTGTGTTTTAAAAAAAGAACGACGGCATGGAGTGTTAGTGTGTGTTGAGCTTCTTCCACTGTTGAAAGAGGCTGCTATTTAATCTGTGCCTACTACGTTTGAAACCTATGGCACTAATGATACAGCCATTTTGCAATTGGGTGGGCCTCCACCCCATCCCCTCCACCAAGTGCGTACTTATTTTTTCCACTTCAAGCACTGGGTTAGAATCATTGTACGTTTTATGGTAAAAGCTGGGGTCCTTTTTACTTCTACTGTAAAGTACATTTTAATTATCAAAATACAAGATAGTAAAGAAGTAGAACTGTAACAGACACCTCAGACTATAATCAGAATCCTAATCTCTATTGCACATTATGCAAATAATTTCATGTAAATGTTACAAGGTGAACTGTTCTTGTCGAGATCAAAGTCCCTTACCTTCCTCACAGTTGTCACCCTTATAGCCGGTGTTACAAATGCAGGAGCCCATCATGCAGATCCCATGTCCTCCACAATTGATGTCGATGCACTGATTTGATGGCACATCACACTCTGTACCTTTCCACCCGCTGTAGCATTGGCAGCGGCCACGGGAGTACTGACCATTCCCACTGCAGAGCACCGGGCAGGAAGCTGAAAGACACATCTCTCTGAACTGAGACAGGACTTTACTTTTAGGCTAAACATTAACTAGAACATTTCACTGAACCTGAATTTTAAATGTTCTGTGAAACACATTCATACTGACTAAAAACAGTGTCAACAGCTGCTTTACTTCTGATGTATCCTGCCTAGTGTTTAGTTTGTGTACTAGATTGGCTAATGTGCATTGCTGTAAGAAAACACATCCTCATTTCCACACATATCTCATTGTCATCCTCAAATCAAATACAGGCCATTCTCCAAAACAAAATCAGCTCCGACTGACCACAGATTTATGATTTTATGAAACGTCACACGCCTCATACATCAGCTTTAGTAACAACAGTTAGCCCTGCTCTGTCAATCTCTTCTGGAAGGCTGTGTGGGTCACTGAGTGCAGGGATCCACTTGGGTAACATTTTGATATCTGGACGTATTCTCTTGTAAAATCTCCTTCAGCACCAAGTTGGTAACGTAATTACCCACACTTCTATCCTCCTGTTCAATCAAAGCTTCCTGAACTTTTTGCTTCAGATCAAGAAACTGTACTTTTTCAATTAAATCCTATGTTATTTGTGAGAGGTTCTTGAAAATTCACCATTTCCTCAGCTATGACCAACTGATTAGCATAGCTAGCTTCTCCAGTGACTTGTTTATTTCTCTCCTGAATCCTAGAAGAGGAAAAGAGGTCAACCCCATTACTATCTCCTTGTCTGCTTAAAGGCCTAAACAGGATTGCTTCATTCTTGCTTTCATTGAAGCACAGATAATTCTGAGCCATTCATAATCTAATGTTACCTAAGCAATTGAGGAGGGCCTTGATGGAGCGCCCCTGACCGCGCCTTAGTGGTAGGTAGACCTGACAGTCGGCATAAAGATGCTTGCGCAACAGGTGACCCAGAGGCAACAAATACAGAGCGAAGGGAAGTGGGGTCAAAACAGAATCTTATGGTACTCTCCATGGCAACTCAGCAGTGTTGGATGACTAGCAATCACTAGGGATGAGAGAGTACACCACTATCTGCATCTGTTCAACCTTCTAAATTATCTATACTCGGGAGTGGCTGGGAACTGGAATTAGGCTTGGTTTAACCGGACGCGGGGGCTCGTGAAGACCCATGCAATGAAGTCTTTCCTTCAGCACAAGCACAGATATTCAAGGGTTTTACTCGTTTTATGCGCGTACATGTCAAAAATGCTTTATCCATACCCTAATAATCTAGTAATAACCCTAATAATCCCCCAGCCTAATGCACAATTTAGGCCCAACCTACCTCTGGAGTCAGATGTATAATTAGCCATTTTGACAAGTTTTAGTGTTCACCTTTATATTTCACTTTGTATTTTATTCTTTATGCCTTGTATCATATCATTATTTTCAGCACAACCGCACATAAGTGAATATAGTCATTTCTTCATTTTGTCATACTGTATTAGCACACGGAACCTGAAAGTAAACTAAAACATCAAAATCTGAGTAAAAACTATGACGTATTTATTGCTGGAAAAACCACAAACATTTGTAACAAACCATTTTCAGCACTCAGAATGAAACTATAAGGTGTGAGTATAAAACAAAAAAGGTCAAATGTAGCAAACAGCTGTTAAATGCAAGTCTTTTGCAAAAAATGCAAGGCATGTCTCAGGTGTTTTTCCTGTGAAATTGCTGTAATGCTGAAATGTACAATATTTACATATATTTACAAAGAAAGTGTCATGACCAGAAGCCATAGTTTCTGCATGCCAAGCATTAAAGTAACCTCGGTGGTGGGGTGGGGGGTGGGGGGTGGGGGGCTTTGTGGGCACTTCAGGACTATGGGATACCAGGCCCTATGATATGGGCTGTTAGGTTCCTATATGACCGGTGTCAGAGCTTGGTCTGCATTGTCGGGCTTGTTTCCAGTGAGCGTTGGACTCTGCCAAGGCTGCCCTTTGTCACCGATTATTTTTATTACTTTTATGGACAGAATTTTGAGGTGCGGCCAAGGTGCTGAGGGTATCTGTTTTGGTGGCCTAAGGAAATGCAACCCAAAAATGATGACATGTGAATGTCACTGGCTTTTCTGACCTTAGTTTCCCCGCCTACATTCTATCAACAGCTAACGCAGTAAATAGAGCAAGAAGATTATTTTTATGGATGAGCCGGATACTCGTTTCAGATGAGTATCCGGTACAGATAAATAATTTTTGACGAATACGAGCATGAAACAAGTAAAACTCATAAATATCTGTGATCGTGCTGAAGGAAAATCCTCATTGGGTAACTGACTGTCTTCACGCTCTGTGATTGACCAGTCACATCGAGCCCCCCCCCCCCCCCCCCCCCCCCCCCCCCCCCCACACACACACACACACAAAACTCTGCAGCCGGGAGCTCAGTCCATCCGGCCCATCCACGCACACACACGGACAGTAACTGATCTCTCTGTGCTTGCTTCAGTGTTGTTTACGTTTCTTCAGTACTCCCTACGTTTTCTTCAGCTCGCCTCTTTTTCAGTTCAATATTTGAAGTTATTTTTTTCGTAACGTACGTGGTGCATTTGACAAGACAGTTGAAAACGGCTCGTGCTGCGTCGGTCACATCTCCGCTTGTGTTCTGTCTTTCTCTATCTGTCTCTCTCTCTCATACAATAAGTGATACAGAGGGTACTTCAGCTGAGACTGAATCAAATTATTTATAATTTCAATAATAAAATTAAAATAAAATAAAAAGTTGTGTCTGGTTCTAGTATTTCATATTTCCTAGTTCCTACTGCATGAGTTCAGATGTATTAATTCATGCGCTTAAATATTAATGTTCTGATTTTATTGAAAAACTCAAAAATATTTAATCTCAGTTCTGAGGCAGCTCTGTAAATAGTTTTCAAATAAACAATACACATATCAACTTCTGATCAATCCATATCAATTTCAGACTCAAAATAATGTATTGATATAAACCACGCCCACTTCCGGTTAAACTACACCCACCTCCGGTTAGGCCACGCCCACTCCGAGTACAGATACAGATAATTTAGATGGTTGAACAGATACAGATAGTGGTGTACTCACTCATCCCTAATTATGTTCACATTTAGCCTGCATGTTAAACTCTTTGACCAATCACATTTCCAAAAGAACAAGTAAAAATGGTTTCTCATTAAACATGGCCTTTGAAGGAAACTACTGATTTGAAAAAAGAAAACAAAAGTCTAAGTTCTAGAGAGTTCTACCTAGACAAACATTGAGATTAATGAAGAGCCTTTTACTAGTTAGTGTTGCTGTTTAGCAGTTCCACAGCCATCAGTGCATGATTTTCACATTTACTGCTGGAATTTCCAGCTGACTGGAGAATACTGTGTGGTCTCACCTCGAGAGCATTCAGGACCCAAAAACCCTGGGAAACACTGGCATACCCCCGAGAGACAATCGCCATTTCCATGGCAATTTTGAGGACACTCCATAATCGACGCTGATTTAAGAAACGAGAAAAACAAGGAGAGGAAGAGTATTGAGTGGAACACAACAATTGTGTAAAGTTTGATAAAGACTGTTTAGGCAACAACATAAGTTCACTCACACACAGGGTGCCATTTGGGGGGGTACGTTTATTTATTTGTTGTTTTTTTTCTATAGGAGGATCTTTTGTGATGTCAATGCTTATGTTTTTCGCATTGTATCATGGGAGTGTGCGGCAAGAAACTGCGTATTTAGCCAGTAATTTGCATGTTTGGATTTAGTGAAGCAGATGGTCATTCTTGCTGTGTGGTTAAATGCTCGGCCTGTGGGAGGCTTGATAATGTTTTATTGGGATTTCCTCTGGACTCTCCAAAGAAAGGCCAGATTCCTGCAGCAACTGACAGTTTGTGAGGCTCATTTTGTTCATGGTAAGTCCTTGTGACTAAGTACTTGTTAATTAACTCATTCACTGCCATTGACGACTAAAGTCGTCATTGGCACTTTTTTACTGTTTGAGCAGCAGAACGAGCCCCCGCGCTGAGAGAACAAACATCTCAGCCCTGAAGCCGATCTTCATCCGCATACGTCACAGATCACATGATCAGGAAGCAACACATCCATGTGTTTGGAGATTGTTTTGGGCCGTTCCTGTAAAAAAAGTGAGGCGCGAACCGGAAAAGCGTCTGCAGATCACAATTCGACAACGGATTATGAAAGAACGGATAACGCTCGAAACACGCGGCTTCTTCCTGATGTAAGAGGTGAGTCTCCTCTTTGTTTTGGTTGTTTTGGCATCGACATCATGCTAGCGCGCAACGTTCTGTGACTCTTAAAAAAAACAGTAAAAACGGTGAGAAACGCTGGCAGCGAAGGCCGTTAGTGATCAGGAAACAGCTGGCAGTGAATGCGTTAAAGAAGATGTTTAAAAACTTTCATCTTCATGTATTTTTAAATTCATAGAGTCACGTTGCATTCATGTTCTGATTTAGGTGTCTCAACTTGAGATCATAAATAAAGAAATAAATATTAATGAGGACTTACCCGGCTTTTCTTTGGCTGGGTGATGTAAACAACGCTGTGACTCTGCTCGTGGGAGCTAACTGCTGACATTAGCACGATCATGGCTTTCTGTTTTCTGAAGAGATCGACCCAGCTTTCCTTGAAACTAAATAATCGTAGGCCTCCAGACATTTGTAAGCCTTTCTTTTTAATGAGTGAAGTGTTCAGGGCTTTCTGTTAAATAGGAATAATTATCTCTCCAGCGGATTTGTGGAATAAATAAATAAATAAATAAATAAACACGGGCAAATCAGATCGACGTTTAACGCTGATGATGTTTTGTCTTCAATACACATTTTAAGCTTCACTCTAAACCTCCTCCTGTCTTTAGACGGTAAACTGTTTATAAACCGAGGATTTTGTCTGTAAACTCCCTTAAAAGTGTACATCGTGTATTGATAGTTCATCGTATTGTGTTCAGCCACTCGCGCATGTGCACCAAGATGAAAAGAGAAAGCAATAATCCTCCGACCGGTTTCTGTTAGATGAAGCAAGCATAATAACACTCCTGCCAGCAGATGGCGCAAGCCGATAAGCAATGCACTACAAGGGGCCAGGGAGTGTGCTAGTTATTCAAAGAGAAGAGGACAACGATCTAGCTATGAAACGTCAGAGTACGGTTTCCTTTTTTGTGCAAAAAAATAACTGAAAAAGACTAAATCTGGTGGTGGTACAGAAAGCTGCAGTAGCATTACAGAGCCAATTTTGATCAACAACGACAAAAACGAGCAGCCGGCATCACTGGACAAGGAGCAGCAGCCAGATCTTCCCCCCTCCCACGCAGACCTGGTTGGAGGCTTGATCACTTTTCAAGATGGAAAGAGGGAATGGCTCGTCATGAAGGAGGATGGTTTGGTTAAGTGCTCTGTTTGTTCTGACGGCCATGTTTGGGTCCCCTTTCTCAAGAGAAGGTTCACATTGATCAAGTGGTCATTAACGGAATTGTGGTAAAAAATGCAAAAAAAGTTACTCAACAAAATCAGCAAACATGAAAAATGCCAGTCACACGTGAAATGTATGGACATTGTGAAAAAGAGGGTGGATGGAGAAATTGAAGGAGCCATAGAAAACAGAGCAAAGCTGTGGGGAAAAAAGCAAAAGAAAAATGATTAAAGGTAACGGAGCGTTGCCGGCGCACTGTCTACACTGTCTGCAAAAATGACTTGCCATTCAAAATCCAGCCAGCGCTAACTGAGCTTAAGCAGCTAAATGGTCTCAATCTAGGCAACATGTTGCACTCAGACGAAGCCTGTCGAAACACGTTAATATTCGTTGGTGAGAAAATGGCAGCGCAGCTCGTTGATTATGTTGTGAAATCTTCTGATATGTTCAGCATCCTCATCGATGAGAGCACAACCACACCCAACAAACCTTCTCTCATTGTTTACATCCGCATTCCATTCCAAAATGAGGCATGTCATTTATTTATTTATTTATTTTACAAACTTATTGAACTGGATGGTACTGGGGAAGCAATCCGCACCTCACTGTTACGTCGTCTTTACGAGAACGGAACTACTACAGATGTTCTGTCATGATGGGACGATTCAAAGGTGTTGCTACACTGATGCAAGTGAGAATCATCACTGACCCGGTGGTGATCCATTGCATGAATCACAAGTTGGAGCTTGCAGTCCATGACACAGTCCAAAAAAAATAAAAATAAAATCACACAAGCAAGTCACTTTCAGATGTTCAATGGCTCGTATGCATTTTTGTCTCAGAGTCCTAAACACATGAGGGAACTAGAGGCAGTGGCTACAGAACTTGGCATCAAGGCAAAAAGAGTGGGGAAAGTTTTTGGCGTTTGCTGGATGTCGTCCTGATGCACGTCAGTGACGCTACGCAGCCTTAGTTAAACTGTTTCGGGAGCTGTCTAAAGACGACACACGGTCAACCAAGGAGAAGGCAAAATGCGCAGGGATGCACGCGATGATGACTCGATGGTTGTGTCGGAAAAGGCGTGTTTAAAAGATACAGTTGAAACCCTGAGGGCACTGTCTGTTTTTACAGAGAATGGATGCTACAGCAGTCTTGGCAAAAACAGAGGTTGATGTGGTGCTGAAATCACTGAGATCCATGATTCAAAGGGATGGAGTAAACACATGCTCTCTAAAGCCGGGTGTACACTGTGCGACTTTTTCACTCGTAGCACTCAGCTTCAGCTCAAACTGTACGACTTCCTCGCAGGGCAGATCTCACGAGTCATGCGCTCACACTGTACGACCCAGTTCTCGGATGCGACCTGACTGCTCACACTGTACGTCTGGTAGCAACACGTCGGACCTAAAGAATATGCTAAAAATAGCATTTTTTACACAACACGTCAGACTTTTTTGTCTTGTTTTGCCTGTTGTCCTTCGGGAGTGCTGCAGGAGGACACACAGGGATGTATGGGGGTCGGACGCTCGCAGTGCCGCTTCAACGGTGCGATACCCTCACGAGGGATGAGCAAAATATTAAACACGCCAGAAGTTTGTGTGAGCTCATGATTGCTGATCGGTAGCTGGTCACTTGGTGTTAATCGCCTCATAACCCCCTGTACACTACACGACGCTCGGCGCAAAACTCGCCCCGATCTCGTGGATTCTCGCACGAGTGGAAAAGTCGCACAGTGTACACCCGGCTTAAAAGAGGAACATGTCAGGACCCCAACACCGTCAAGAGAGTTAGAGGCAAGTGAAAAAGAGTTGCGCTCAAACTTTTTTCTGGCACCAACAGAAAAAATTGTGCAGAGGCTGGAAAATGGGAATAAAATGCTGTCCGCTGCTGCAGTGCTGAATCCATCCACCTGGCCAGCTGATACTGAGGACCACGCTCTGTTCGGCGACACCGATGTGCTTTACCATTGCGAAGTCCTTCACATGATGTCAACAACCCCTGTTCTACTACTGAAGTTCTTCAGACAGGACAAGCACCAAGGCAGCATAGGCAAAGACCTTAAAAAAATTATGGTGGCTGTTGACATGCTCCCAGTCTCCATGTCAGAATGCGAGAGGGGGTCAAGCATGTTGAACGCAATCTTGACAACGGAGAGGAATAGGAGGATGATATCAACTGTCAACTATCTTCTATTCACCTGCGTGAATGGTCCAGAGGTGGACGCTTTCCCTGCAGAAAAGTATGTGGAGTCGTGGGTCAGAGAGGGTTGACACGGTGACGCTGATGCTGCCACGAGGGAAACGACCCAAAAAAGAAGATATTGCGCTCCAAAACAGACTGTTCTCAATCAGTCAAGTGTGTTATTTTTCGTTAATTTTAATTATTTTAATGTATTTTTATTCAAACAAACGATCTTAATATGGTTCATATGTTGGTAATATTAAACGGAACACTTACACTCCTTTTTATTTTGTTTTTCTGTCAGTTTCAAGAGGGGAACCTATGTGTAGAAAAAGCCCTGCAATCAACATATAAAAGCATTTTGTTGTTATTTACATAAATAAAAAGTGAAAAAATTATACCCCCCCTCTGCTTTCTTCACAAATTACACACTGCTCACACACACACACACACACACACACACACACACACACACACACACACACACACACACACACACACACACACACACACACACACACAGCTTGTGATAAGCATGTAATCTAAGTAAAGGCTCTGGTCTAAATCAAAAGAACTCTGGTCTAGTGAGCACAGGAGCCCTCGAGAGTGTCGTGCCTCCAGGAGACGCTTATGACCCTCATTTGTTTCTATTGGTTTGGTGAGACATTCATGCCTGTCCTGTTGATGAGTTCAGCTGAAATTAATGTTTCGTGTTGCTTATGCTGGACCTGACTTCAGCTGTTGATACTGTCGACCTCCCAACCTTGTGTGAGTCAGGACTCATAGTGAATTCGGAGTATGAAACCCCAGGAGAATGTGGTTCATTGCATGAAAACATTTTTACAGTTTAAAAGAACAGATAAAAGATGACTGTTTTAAATCCTTTTTCAATCTGCAGGTGGTTTGGTTTGACCAAAACCTGATAAATGTGTTCAGACTTTTAATGTAGACCACAGAGTTGAGTGTTTTAGCAGCTTCAAACACTGAAAGACACAGCACACACACACGTCTCACCTGTGATGATAGTGTTGAAAGAGATTTGGTTTGTGTTTCGCCCGTCGTTGTAAAATGCCAGATGCCAGATTCCCGAGTCCAGGTACTGGATGAAGCCTGCCTCAAATACACCGACAGAGCGAGTGTGTCGAGATCCCCCATCAGACTCGACCTCTTGATAAATATCCAAGTGTGCATACACCAAGTCTCTATCGCTGAGAGCTCGTTTGTCTTTGGAAATAAGGCGACTTCCATCCAGCAGCTCAACGAAGTCATACTGAAATGAACATACATGACAGTAAAAACACTTCTTCTAGGAAATAACTTTTTCATGGCATGGGCCTATTGAGCACTCAGCTGTGGGTATGTGCTTTTTTTTCTTTTGACTGAGTTGTGTGTATGTGAACTTGCATGTGTGTGTTGGGTGTGAGAAAGAGAGGCAGAGTGTGTTGGTAGAATACGTGTGTTTGTGTACCATAGGCCTTTAGTGGCCATTTTTGGGGTCGCTGAAGCACCCCTAACGTAAACCCCAGCACCCCACCACCACCACCATCACACTCCACCATTTAAACATCAGTCACCAACAAGACATGTCAAAACCGCCAAATTCTGTGTGGTCTACGGTTGTTACAATCACGCTAATGGAGGACAAACACAAACATTATTTTCATGTCCCAAAAATAGTTCACCACAAAGGACTTTAGAAAAAACGTACTGAAAAAAAGACTGCGGAAGTGGATCGGTAATCTCCAGCAAAAACAGGAGGTGCTGGAATGGACAATGCTAACAAGTAAGGGTTTACTAAATGTTTTTATGGCTTTTTATTGAACAGCTATTTAGAAAAACAGCCATAAACGCAGCAGGTATACAGGTTGATGCTGTTTTCATGCATCCTAACTTAGTTTTCAGAGTGCTAACGTTGTTAGCAGTTATCTTAGTGCTGTAACTTGTAATACGTGTAATCAAACAAACGTGCCAGAAATTTAGATTTTAAAAGGCATATGTTATTTACAAGTAGATCCAAGCACATAAACATACTCATTGTTAGCGTTAACATTGATAGCATTATTATCATGAGCTAATGCATTAAAATAGCACAACTCACTGCTAACCCGAGCTAAAACAAGACGACAACCATTTAATGCTTCTCTGGATCACTAAATGGTAAACCCAACATGAGATTAAATAGCTTTAGACTGTAGGCTTTGCTTTTCAGCGTAAATATGACGGCATGCGGCAGGAGATAGTTTGTTATGTTGATCGCTTCAATGCTGGGTAAATCCTCCAGTGTATGAAGTCTGACTTTTTAAAATGAATGTGTCATAACGTAAAGGAAGATGTATTTTTCCTCAACGTTGCATCTGTGCAGCTCATTTAAGGCCTTAGTATACTTGCTGTCATCCATCACACTGTGTTTTGTAGTTGAGCAAAACACACCCACATCACCCCGCTTCTCCTCCAGCTTCACTGGCTGCCAGTCAACTTCAGGGTTCATTTCAAGATCCTGGTTCTGGTCTATAGGGCCTTACATGGACAAGCACCATCTTACATTGGTGATCTTCTTAGTCCCTACACCCCCAGCAGGTCCCTGAGGTCCAGTGACCAAAGCCTACTGGTTGTGCAGCACCAGGCTAAAGGTCAAAGGTGACAGATAATTTGCTGCTGTGGCCCCCAGACTCTGGAACTCTCTCCCCCTGAGCCTGAGATCAGTGGACTCAGTGGTCTCCTTTAAAAAGCAGCTGAAAACTCACCTGTTCAGGCTTTGGTGTGACCTTCATCATCACTCTCTCCTTGTTCTGCTCTCCCTACCTATTCCACCTCCCTCAGGATCCACTGATTTCCCTCTTTCCTATTCACTCTCTCTCTTTCTTTACATTTTGTAATCACAATTGTCTATTTTTTGCTCATTTTAAAATATATTTTAATCATTTTCTATATTCTTTTTTATATTTTTACATTGTTTGTTTTTGTGAAGCGCCTCGTGATTTTTATCTTGAGAGGCGCCATAGAAATGATCTTTTTTCCTTCTTCTTCTTCCTGTCCCCATTTGAGCTTCACATGACTGCAAGGTCATGTGAGTGAAGCCCAGCAATTGTTAGCTCTGTTGGCTAGTTCTTAGCCATGTGTTGTAACGTGTTACTGGTTATGAATCATTCTCATGATTAATTATCTTTTTGCGAGATGTTGGAGATGTCCGACACTGAGGGGACGCCAGCCACGGTGAGTTCAACAACACGTGAGCTTCAAATGGAATTTCCTAGACTTTGTATTGATTTTCACACATTATTTTTCTGTATTTTTTTTCCTCTTCAGGTAAAAGTGTAACACTAACAACAGATGCTTAGAAACATTAATATCACTGAGTGTATAATTAACTAACAATTAATAAATAATTTACTTAATTTGTAAATGTTCATTAGATGTTTTATTACTATTGAACAAATAGGCTGTTGAACATTAGATTAATATTACTGAATGATAATTTATTGATTGAACAAAAAAATTTGAACAATTACAGACGTGACTGTTTGATTATTGCAAAACCTAACAAAACCAGTTCACTTAAAAAGCATGAGTAACACTTAATAAATAATTAACTAATAAAGACCAAATAAATCACAAACACTTGTAAAGGTTTAGTAAATGTTTCTTTAAATACTGAACAAATGGATATTTCAACATCAGTAAATATTTCAACAATTAAATAAATAGTAACTGAATAAACAATTAAGGTCAGCAGGCATTTGAAACCCATCGTATCTCAGAAAGAACAAGTATTATTCCTCCGCTCTAACGTTTGAGGTTTTCACAACTTGAAATTCTATTTGGTTTAGAAAGTTTGGTGTGTTGGTAGTGGTCACATGTATGAGTGGAGCAATAGCCTCTCTTTTTCAAAGTGAGGCCGGGGACACACCGGCCGCCGAAGCGCCGCGAAACGGGGACCGCCTTCATTCGGCGCCCTTGTCATCCTATTCTATAGACCACATGGGCCACCGAAGCGCCGCGCGCCGGCGCTCCAGCCCGCGCCGTGCAGCGATCGTTTCGGCGTCTGCTCTATTTTTTTCACGAGCCGCGGGTGAAACGCGTCCATTCTGGCAGGAAGTCAAACCTAGACATAAGAGGCAGGCCGGTAAATTTAACAAAATAAAGCATTTCAAAATAAAATTCCGTGATTGTCAAATGTGTTCGTAAACAGACACTGCAAAAAAAAACCACACAAACACACACACACAGAGCGAACTTGTGTGTGTGTGTGTGTGACCACGTGAAGGGGGTGTGGTTTTGGGTGTCTTTCAACCGGAGCAAACAGGACAGAGAGGCAGAAAGTCATAGGCCAGCTATTAACAACTGGTTCACACACACACACACATACAAACACACACACAAACAGTAAAGCTTGGTTTATGCTTGACGCATTCACTTTCAGCGCGGTGATGCGGCTCGCGGATGGAACGCGCTTCACAACTCGCAGCGTTTATGGTTCGTGCGGCTTGTCTATGCGGTGAGCCAATATTCTCCCAAACTGTAGGGGGCAGCATGGAGCTCTACGGCATGCATCCAACACTACACCATAGTAGAAGTAAAAATTACTGTTTACAACATGGCATTTCAGCATTTTTAACAGCGTTCTCGTCTTTCCTGACAGTGCGAGCTATTTCTCTCCAAGAATTATTAACAACATGTTGATCACGGTGATCTCTGAGAGCTGAATCATACAAATGTCTGTATTTACGAACCTCTGCCATAATAGTTCTTGCCGGTCCGCCATGTTTTTCCGCGTCCGTCCGTCCGCGTGGTTAGAAATTTTCCGAGGTGCGCGTTGCGGAAATTCTGGGCCGTGCGGAGGCGCGGTGGAGGGGCGTGGTTGTTAAAATGACGCAAAATGACGCAACTTTTCCGCGCGGAGCCGTGCGGACCTCGCGGACGCGTCAAGCATAAACCAACGTTAAGGGGGAGGGGGGTGTCGAGGAAAAGAGCAGAGAAAAGGCGGAGAGGAAATGGAGGACACCAAGTGGTTAAAAGAAAAAACTACGAGGCGCGCCTCGACCAGAATGGAGAAACAAGCGGCTGGTCTGAACTGAGGAGCAGCGACCAAATTTCGTGAGCGCTTCGCCTCCCAGCGCTTCACAGCGCTTCAGCGGCCGGTGTGTCCCCGGCGTAACACTCTTCAGAATAGAAGTATGCTGTCACTTGGACGGTTCAGATTTGCTTCAATTGTGTGAGCAAACATCGTCGTCGTGGGTGGACAGCTTGATTGTCTTGTCATTGAAGTGTTGAACTGAAGGATCGACCAATAGGTAATTTTCTCATTCCACTTGTTTAAAAGGGTCACTTGGATGTAAGGTGAAACACACAGGTCGAAAATAAAAAGACACTAGGAAAATGTGTTGTACTGCTTGTGTGGTGAGCTTCCACCAAAACATGACAAATGTTATTTCATAGCCTTCAGGAAATGAGTTCCATCTGTGTGTGATTTGTGTAGAAAACCAACCTGTGTATGTGACGGTGGTAGGCCTTTTCGTGCATACACCCCAACCAGGGCATCTTTATGGAGAAATATGTTGAATTTCAAGAACTGGGGTTGGTCAATATAAAGCTGGGACCTCCAGAACACACCTTGAGGGAAGGAAAAATTTAATTAAAGTCCTAATTTACATTTTATGATTTTGCTCTCAGTGGACAAACATAAATTCAATTCAATTCAAAAATACTTTATTAATCCCAGAGGGAAATAGATTTTTTTCTCAAATTGAAATGTTTTTAATTGAAATTGAAATGATAAAAAGGTAACTGGCCTGTATTTGATATTGCACGTCTAGATTTCCACCCAGGCTTTTTCAACAGTCATTTATTTACTCATACACCGACCCATTTCCACCCTGGTGGTGGTGGGCTCCAATGTAGCCACAGCTGTCCTGGGACACACTAGCAGGCGCCATCAGTCCCTGTGAAGTGTCTTTTACTCAACGACACAATGGCTACAAAAATATGAAGCGATATAAATATAACTTCTCCTGCTTCTACAAGGCATTCCACCAAAAACATTAAGTACCTCATTTTAAAAATCAGTCCACCACCACCCTGGTGTCCTAGTCCACAGGTGCTGTATGTGGTCAGAAGAGGGGCATCAGCCATGAAAGCTCGACAACCTTCAGCATCTCAGGGCAAGTGTTATACCCCTCGAGCAGCTTTTTAACCACCCCTGCTATCGTTGCTAGTGTACCAGACTCAGCTTCACCTACCTACTTCAGTGTAGGTTGGAGTCTTTCACCCCAGGTGTGCTGATTACCTTTAGAACAGGTCTGACCAGACTCTTTCTTCACAGTTCTTGTGACAAAACAGCTGATCTCAAAGCTCTATCCCTCATCGTTTGTCAGTTCCAGGTTTTCTTTAGTAAGGGCAGTCTTTCAGCCAGTGGTAAGTGATTTTGCATAATGTACATATTCTTCTCCTTTCATGTTCACCAAGTGAATTTGTCCCTTCAACCCTTCTGGGACTGCTGCGTTCACTTTTATTTCGTGTCTGCTCGTGTGTACAGTGCCTACCAACACTGATCTGTGATGATCTGCTGCCCTCTTGTGGTGAAGTAAATTTATTGCTGATTTCATATTCAGAAGAGACTGGGCAAGCAGTAAGCACTAATTGTTCATCTTTGACATTTAGCCCCATGCTGTTTAGTATGGAGCTAGGATTGGGACAATATTCAGCGTAACTTGTACCAAGTTGTCTGTTACGCTGAATATTGTCCCAATCCTAGCTCCATAGGTTAGTAGCTTAAACACTTCATCTGATTGTTCCACGTTCAGCTTGAATATTTTGTTGAACCACTGTTCAAAGTCATTATAGGCCAAATTTAGTATAATCCATCTGTAAGTTGATTTAACCAACATCTGTGTAAGCTTCATATTGTCAGTCATTTCTTAAAAATAAACAAAACAAAGAGTTCAGCTTACATAGAAGATTAGCCATTCCTCCACATCAGCCTCTAGCATGCCTTCCCTAACTCTTACAGATAGGAAGCCCATTATTAGGGCCATCCTGCTGCTATCATTAGGGACCTTTACATGGCTGAACTGAACCCAGTAGGTAATTAAATTTTTAAGCAGAGATATAAAATGTAACATATTTAAAGGCAAAAGCAACATTTGTGTTATGTTTGAACCTGGCGGGACATCTTGTGTGATTCGTCTTCCCACGTCCACTTCTCCTGTGTCTATGGTGTTGTTCTCTAGAAAAAACATCTTGCCTGTCAAATGAGAAAAAAGATTGCAAGTCATTTCTGATATTTTTCATTCTGACATCTAACAGAGAATAAAATGACATTCGAACATTAATATACACATCCACTCATTAATGTCAGGTTAATGGTTTCCTTGGTCAATCCAGTTGTATGTAACAGACAATTAAAATAGTATTGTTCAGTTAATATAATATTAATACTAATAAGCATCTGTCAGCTGTCTCACACTCGTTAATATCCCTTCACGTAACGTAGTTTAGTGCTTTAGAGAGACACCTGTCATCCAGTTCTGGAGCTCATGCGGGCTTCTGTGTGCTTGATCCGACCCAGACAACAGCGAGTCAGTCGAGCTGGTATTTTTTAAAGCTGCTCATGATCCTTTCCTGCAGGTCTGCAGCGGTTCTGATCCGGTTCCGACCCAGAAACCAGTTGGCCCGCTGAGCCGCGCATTTCTTCTGGTGGTCGGTTCTTATCTGGTTCTGAAGTTCCAGAAATCCACATTTAACTTTTTAAACCCCACCACGGGTCTCCGGAGCCCAACGCGGACCTCCCTGAACCGGTACCGACCGATGTGGGCTACAGAAGTCCGTCTATTCGGCTGCACAAAACGCCCTCAGACACGGAGATAGAGGCGCTGTTTCTCTTATCTGGAAACCCGTGGACTTGATGTCCGGACACACTGGAGTTGGTACAGCCTTCACACACTCTAGTTTATCAAAATGAACACAATCCAAAACTAGTAACCATACACACTGGCTGGATAACATGACCTCTCTACCCTAAAACTAGCCACTCTCCATACTGAGCTGAGGCAGCGCCTAGCTTCTAACTCCCTTTGGTTCAGTGTTGGGAAAGTTCATTTAAAACAAACAAACTAGTTCAAAGTTCAGTTCATACATTTTAAAACGAACTAGTTCATCTCTTAGTTCATAATTAAAAAAAATTTAGAACTAAGTTCACTGTTCCAAAAACAAACTAGTTCATAATTCTTTTTTCTATATATATGAGAAAAAGAATTATGAACTAGTTTGTTTATATATATATATATATATATATATATATATATATATAGATAGATATGTATCTTATGGAATAATTTTCCAATAGTCGGCACCCGTTCAGTCCACACTCGTACCCAGCAGCAGTTTTTACCCTAAAGTATATCCTCAATAACATGATGAAAACCTTATTTGAACAGTTTTTAATGGGAAATCATTAAACAAACAATCTTAGGAAACAGGCTGAGGTAGCAAACTCAAAGTACAAAACATAAAAAAATGTAAATCTCAAGTCCCGTTTCAATTTTTCTGAATGAACTTTTGACTCCTGCACACAGCATAGACGTAGAAGAGTAGACGCCACACCAACCGCTACTGCCTATGTTTGGCCGCATTTGCGGGTTCTACTTTCTATAAACTCTATGGTTAACAGGATGGCTAGGCTTTAGCTCCGGAAAAGCTCCGTGGAGATCTGGAGCTAGAACGGCCAAAGAACGCGTTCATAAACCCGTTCACGCACGCCAGGACGAACGCACTCACTTTTACGTTCGTCAGGCAAAATACTAACGAGTTCAGTTCCCAAAAAAAACTAACAAATTCACGAACAATCGTTTAATGAAGGCGTTCGAGCACAACACTGCTTTGGTTACGTCAGAGAGTCAGATTTAGAAAAAGCCTTTTTAGAAGCTTTGCTGAGAAAGGCCACTTTTTACCAGAAAACTCAGCTGGTATGTATTTTATAATGAAATATCCACAATAAGCATTTCAAATTGTATTTTTTAGATAGCATTTTATATGAATTTGAAAAATAAATAACCTGTAATTTGCTCTTGAAACTCATTTGTTATGCTCACAGCAAAAATGTATTTAGTCAGCGTGAAAGCAAGTCTTTGTGTAACTTCTCACACTTAAACCATGAGAGGCCTGTAATTTCCTTCATATGTATACCTCAGCTACGAGAGACAGAATTAGAGGATCCACAGAATCACATTGTCTGATTTTTAAAAACTTTATTTGCAAACATGCTGGAAAATATGTTTTTGGTCAATAACAAAAGTTCACCTCAATACTTTGTTATATACCCTCTGTTGGAAATGACAGAGGTCAGATGCTTTCTGTAAGTCTTCACAAGGTTTTCACACACTGTGGCAGGTATTTTGCCCATTCCACCATATAGATCTCCACTAGAGCAGTGATGTTTTGGGGCTGTTGCTGGGCAACATGGAATTTCAAATCCATCCAAAGATTTTCTATGGGGTTGAGATCTGGAGACTGGCTAGGCCACTCCAGGGGCCTTTCTATGAAAAAAATGTGGAAAGTTCGTACGAATGGTCAAATTCCTTATTTATGAAACATGCGATGGCCTCTCTTATGCATGTTCTTCCTCAATCTTGTGTTGACAAGTCCCACCTGTTCGTACCCAGGTGCTCATATCCATTCAGTCATTTACATACAGAAACGCCCTCAGTTACCCATATTTGATCACACCACATCATCTGCGCGTGAGGAGAATCTCGGCCTTCCTCCCGAAAAAAAGCTAAATTATGTTAACAGCGAGATCGAGGCACTGGCTGCTGAAGTGCAAGAGAACCAAACGAGTTGCCAAGTTTGGAAACGCGTTGGGGACAGAGAAGAGATCCCGTCAGAAATAAATTAAAATGCTTCCACATAAAATTGAATGTGGTGAATGGTATAGTAACAAGTTGTCATTTACATTTTACTTTTAAGGAGTCATTCTGTCACGATGAGAGCAGGAGGTTAGGACCCAAGATGCAGCATCCCCAGAACGACTCAAGGCAGGAGAGGTTTGAGAGAATACTTCCTTTTATTAAAGGCGGATGCGCCAAAGTCCAGAGGCACAAAAACAAACCTGACTTAATATCAAACTCGCAGAACGAACAAACAAACAAACAAACAAACAGACAAACAAACAAACAGACAGACAGACAGACAGCTCACCCATGAGCACGAACTAGGGTAACTAGAGGAGGACAGAACACGCTGACAATTACAATGAACCAATGACACTGAAAGACACAGACAGGGTTATATACACAGAGGGAAACAATCAGGGAAACAGGTGACAGGTGTGAGTAGTGAGATCTGGAGGGAAGGCAGGTGCATACAATAATCTAAATGAGGGGAAAGAAACAAGCAGGATGGCAGATAAACCTTAACCTATAAAACACGGATAAAACTAAGGCCTAGTCCACGCGTAGCCGTTTTTTTTAAACGAATAACCGCCCCTCCAAAAACTTGCATCCACACCACCTCGTTTTAAAAAAAAAACTCTGTCCACACGTACCCGGATGAATACGTTGTTAAGGACATGCCAGACCTGTAGGCGGCAGTACTTCCCCCGTTCTTAACCTCGTCCTTCGTCTGTGGTCTTCCGCAAGGAGCAGTAATTCCACTTGCAAAAACAAACAAGCAAAAAGCGCTTGGACAGTTGATAAAGCGAGCGCAGCTCTGAGGGCATCCATGCTGTCGGCTAGTGTAAACACAGGTCGCACACGTGATGTCAGCATTTTTTTTGTCGCGGAAAGTGACGTTGCGGACCTTAAAACTCCGGTTTTGTCTGTCCACACGCAGACACCCAAAACGGAGAAAATGCAGATCTTCACTTTGGCCGGAGTTTCTAAAAAGATCCGTTTTCATGTGGATGACAGACCAAAACGTAGAAAAATATCTACGTTTTGGCAGATCCCCGGCTACGTGTGGACAGGGCCTAAACCTAAAGAGTGAGGGCCAAAAATAAACAACTAATAACTAGATGGATGAGGAGGACTAAAATAAGATTGACTAGGAAAAGGGAGTGATTAGGAGGACAGCTGAGGGAAGTCTAGAGAGGGCTGGGGCTAATAATGGGACACAAGAGGAGAACCTGGAGTGAGAACAGTAGGAGGCTGGGGACAGAGGGACACAGAACATGACACATTCCGTTTGGAGGTTTTATTTGGAAATGTCAGAGTACAGCCTCTTCTGAGCTATCCTTAGCAACACGTGTATAATCGGAGAGCAGAGACGGTTCTGGGAGCTGAATCTCGTAGTTGAAAAATAGAATATGTATTTTAATCAGATTTGTGCGGTTTGTCTGTTGCTCAACAAATGGTTCCAAATCACTGCATAGCTCCAGAAGGATCTCCTTCAGGAATCAGATCAGCACTTTCGGAGGACGCGTTACCATCAGAGTGCACGCTCTGCCAAATTTTCCAATAACACAAGATCAGCCATTCTACAATGGCAGATTCCCGTCAATCACAGGCGTCTTTATTGGTTTTAGCAGCAATTATGTGACACAGCTGTTTTTCCACCGAAAAAAAAAGTTATTGGGCAAAATAATTTGTGGATGTACGGTGGTTCCACCGTTCTACTACTAGATGGTGTTCCTATGCACGGTGTGAGCTTTTCTCATATGTTGGAACATTTACACGTACAAGTACAAAATGATAAATACCACACAGTGCACAAATTTGTTCCTACTCACGACATTCGCACAGTACTGTGCGTAAGTACACTTGAGGGCCCAGGACCTTGAACTGTTTTTTACAAAGCCACTCCTTCATTAACCGGGTAGTGAGTTTGGGACCACTGTCATGCTGAAAGACCCAGACACAAATGAGTGCAGGGGACACCCATAAAGTGCAGGGGGCGCCAACGTGCTGGTTCCAATCCAGACCAGTGATATCTGACAGATAGAAAACCATGTTGCAGCGCAGGTTTCTTATTTTTACTCAGCGATTGTGCGCTCTCTTTTTGTCATGAAAAAAATGTCACCCCGGGCAGCCGCCTGGTCTGCCCATGCCTAAAACTGCTACTGCATCCAGGTAAGGCTGGGTCCTCCCCCTTCTGGACATCCCCCTCCCCCATAATGAAACAGAATTGTTACCATAATTTTAGAGAGGCCAAGGTCCACCTGGGGCTCCAAGAGCCTGGGCCCGGCTCTGCCACGTGTTCCAGCCTTCTTCCTACTGGCAGCCTTCAAGTTAGGACCCAATCCCCAGGAATCCGACCAGATCCCCGCATGGAGCTGGCCGGCCCCACCCAGAGCCACCCAGGGGCAACGCAGCAACCAGGAAGCAACCCATGGCCACTGCCAAGACCCAACTAATTGGCTTAATGAACTGAACTGGAATACTTTATTGTAAGTCGCTTTGGGTAAAAGCGTCTGCTAAATAAATAAACATAAATAAACATAAATAAACATTTTGTTAAGTGCCTTGAGACAACTTTTGCTGTGATTTGGCACCTTAAAGCTGAATTGAACTGAATGGCCAAACTATTCTACTTTGACTTGTTTTTTTATAATTAAAATCAAAAGATAACTTTCAAAAAGTACCTACCATTGTCAGCTGATCCCACAAAGGTGTGAGAAGTTGTATCACTTTCTGCTCCTCCATTTTCAAATGTTTCCCCATAACCGTCACTCTCCTGAAGCTGCCAGTTCAGGCCGAACAAATGCATAGCTGGAGATGAGGGAGGAAACCATGACATGTTGGAAAAGACAAAAACACCAACAATACATAGAGTTCTACACTGAACCAAAATATAAAAATATACCCTTATTCATAATATTTTATCTTGGTTTTTCTAAGCATTTGATTAAATTAAACTGAACAAAAATATAAACGCAACACTTTTGTTTTTGCTCCTGTTTTTGATGAGCTGAACTCAAACATCTAAAACTGTGTCTACATACACAAAAGACGTGTGACTCTCAAATATTGTTCTGAAATCTGTCCACATGTGTTAGTGAGCACCTTTCCTTTACTAAGATAATCCATCCCACATCACAGGTGTGGCATATCAAGGGGCTGATTAGACATCATGAATAATGTACAGGTGTGCTTTACCCCAAAATTCCACTATCTCCGCTCTGCCCCCGCTTTCCGCAGCCGCTCGCTTCTGAACTCAAATTATACTGTACCCGCTCTAGAATGGCTCCGCTCCGGTGCGGAGACCTGAGGTGCGCAAACAAGCATGCGCGGGACTTTCGAGATCTTGCGATACAGTCCGAGCAATAAATACGGAAGTTAGATCCAAACACCCGTTGTGTGGGAGAAGCATCGAAATGAACTGTTTAATGTGCCCATCATTTGTGTTGAGAGATCAGCAGTGTTTGGATCAACAGGGTGACTACTTTGATAGTAGAAACTGTATATATGGCTTAGTTTTGTGCATTTAAAGTTCAACCGCCATTGACATTTGTTAAAAGCTGTTAAACCTGTGCATATGAAGCAAAAACACCTTTTTGTTTATCGATTTATTGTGAAATAACGGAAGTTGTGCTTGCTCCCTTTCCTGTTGGGCGGATGTGATTTCTGTCCATTGACTGCGGAGGTGCTCCGGCGTCCGGCAACAATAGAATCGATCCTATTTTTGCCGGATGGCGGAACGGCAGTGCAGTAGTGGAACAGCTCTGATTGACTACAATGAGACCGTTTTTGCTGCGGATTTCGTGCCGGAGCAGAGCGGAGGTAGTGGAATTTTGGGGTAAGACTGCCCACAATTAAAGGCTATTGAGGGACACTGCCCTACATCATTAAAACTGTCCAATGACATTTACACATCTGCTAGAGAGAGAGAGAGAGAGAGAGAGAGAGAGAGAGAGAGAGAGAGAGAGAGAGAGAGAGAGAGAGAGAGAGAGAGAGAGAGAGAGAGAGAGAGAGAGAGGGTGTTCAGAAAAAGTTCCAAGTGAAATATTGGAACACATAATCTTACTCCGTGTCAAAAACACCATGCAATTAATGAATAAGTAAATAAATAAATAAATAATCAAAACAAAGAAACCAAGGAGAGTGCAGATCCAGGAAGATGGAAGACGATAAGTGAAGAAATTAGACAGTAAATCATTTTATGTCCATGGACATCTGTGTTCTACAGAAAGCATGACTGCTGAGTGTCTTACCAATGCAGTAACAGAGCAGGACCGAGAGCAGAACAGACAGACCAACAGCACTGAATGCTGTACACCTGAGGGGAGAAAGGAGAAGTACCACATAAAAGAATAACCCACTCACTTCCTGCAGGACACATGCTGGTAGTGACAGGATCTTGTCAGCTTATGTCAGACAATTTTATGTTTCTTGTAAAAAAGAAAATAAAATCAAAATTTTAGTGCAGTTCATGGAAAACAAGTGTACAAACCTGAAAGTCCCTTTTTGTTGTGACAATTCTATTCACTATTCAACCTCTTCCAACTCAGTCTTAGTGGTTGCAAACTTTAACCCTCCCACTGTCTTTATGGGTGTTACCCGCGAGGAAAGTTGACCATTGAGCAGGGTTGATGGTTTATCTCTTGAGGTCCATGTGGCAGGGGTGAGGAGTGAGCACCACCAATCAACAATGTTGATTTTATATTTCCTCATTAGGTTAACGCAGTGATAGCTTGCTCTTGTTGTATTGTTTAGTGTCCTTTTTTGTTTGTTTTTTTCTTTCTGCAGGTCTAGAAGCTGACTGTTGTTCATCGTTGATTGTTTATTTTTCTGAGTGGTGTTTTTTTACTGGAATCCTGTACATGTCATGGATCGTCCGTAACAAACACCATGTTCAAGCATAAAGGTGTTAGGTGTTGGCACCAGGATACCTTAGGGCACAGTTCATCGACTGACTTTGTCGTTGTTTCATCTGATCTCTCAGGCCACATGTCTTGGACACTCAGATGAAGAGACTGACCGAGTTGTCAACTGACCACTACCTGGAGGTAAGTTGGCTTCGATGGTGCGGGAGGAGATCGATCAGACTTGGCAGGCCTAAATGTATTGTGAGAGTCTGCTGGGAACGTCTGGCGGAGTCTCCTGTCTGAAGGAGCTTAAATTTTCACCTCAGACAGAATTTCAAACACATCCCGAAGGAAGCAAGGGACATGGAGTCCAAATGGCCCATTTTCCATGCTTCTATTGTTGAGGCGGCTGACCGGGCCGCAGAATTGTTGGTGCCTGTTGTGGTAGCAACCTCCGAACCCACTAGTGGACTGGCGGTTAGGGATGCTGTCAAGCTGAAGAAAGATACTATCAGGTATTTTTGGCCTTTGGGGCTCCAGAGGCAGCTGATGAGTACTGGCAGTCCAAGCGGAATGCGGCTCGGATGGTCACGGAGGCAAAAACCTGGGCAAGGGAGGAGCTCGGTGAGACCATGGAGCAAGACCTACATATGGCTTTGAGGAGATTCTGGTCCACCATCTGGCGTCTCAGGAGGGGAAAGCAGTGCACTACCAACACTGTTTACAGTGGTGATGGCGTGCTGCTGACCTTTACTCAGGACGTTGTGGATCAGTGGGCAGAATACTTAGAAGACCTCATCAATCACACCGGCATGTCTTCCAGCGAGGAAGCAGAGTCATGGGACTTCTGGTTTGACTATAAATTCTAGAGCTGAGGTCATTGATGTGGTCAAAAACTACTTGGTAAAGCCCTGGGGGTGGATGAGATCCACCCGGAGTTCCTTATGGCTCTGGTTGTCACAGCTTCACAGTGTTGCATGGGCATCGGGAGCAGTTCCACTGAATTGGCAGATTGGGGTGGTGGTCCCCCTACTTAAAAAGGGGGACTGCAGAGTGTGTTTCAACTACAGGGGATCACAATTCTGAGACTCCCTGGTAAGGGATTCAGGGTTCAGGGGTTCTGGAGAGGATGGTCCATCAGATTGTTGAACCTCAGATTCAGGAGGTCTTCGTCCTGGCTGTGGAACACTGGATCAGCTCTATATCCTTAAAGGTATCCTGGAGGGTGCGTGGGAGTTCACCCAACCAATCTACATGTGTTTTGTGGATTTGGAGAAGACGTTTGACCGCATCCCCGGGGGACCCTGTTGGGAGTACTGTGGGAGTTTGGGGTACCGGGCCCTTTGATATGGGTTGTTAGGTGACGTCCCTGTATGACTGGTGTCAGAGCTTGGTCCGCTTTGCCATCAGTAAGTCGAGCTCATTTCTGGTAAGAGTTGGACTCCGCCAAGGCTACCCTTTTTCACCGATTCTGTTCATAACTTTTATGGACAGGATTTCTAGGCGCAGCCAGGGTGTTGAGGGGATCTGTTTTGGTGGCCTGAGGATGAGATCTCTGCTTTTTGCAGGGTTTTTTAAAGCATCTCTAGCATAAGTGAATTGTTTCTCTGTTAAAAAAAACAACTAAACTCTTGATACTCCTGTTTAAGGGTTGAGTTGACATGTCAGGATTCATCATATGCAAACATCTCGCCTCTGATAAGCTAACAGCAATGTAACTCTTCTACTGCTTTCGGTAACAAAACTCAGAATAATGTTATCGGTTAAAAAAAATGGAAGACAGATCTTTAATGAGCTCCGCCTTTTTGTGGAGTTTCTAATAGTTATCTTCTACTAGCCAACATGCGCTATGCTCTCTTATGGCTGAAATATCAATACAGACTTCCTCTAGGTGGTTCCAAGCCAAGGTGGGTGGTGTGATGTATACTAATTTTCTCTGAGACAGAAAAGACACAGGCCTTTTCTGACTCTGTGGTTTTCCCATCTTTTTCCTGTCTGCAGAAAATTCAGGTGAGGGAGATAGAAGAAAATGTTCACATTCAGTGTACTTATGGCACTCAAATTTACTGATTAGATTTTTATTATATTATTATATTGTTTCTCGGTGAACACAACCTTTAATAATACTAAAACATGTCCACTTTCTCTGAATTAATATGATTTCTGATACAAACCTCTGTATTATGTAAAACAGCATTCCATCTTACCGCCATGAGCAGTACTTGGAGGACTTCTTGAACTTAAAGGCAGAGCGTGACAGGGTATTCCTTGGTAATGGCCTGGTGGGCGGTGTATAAACTGAGCCCGTTGCCATGGTGTAGCCAGGAGTGGCTGTTGAGAAGAGGGGGGTGGTACCTGTACCTGTTTTAAAGAGGAAGTGCCTTGAAGGCCAGAGAAGGAGAGAGAAATCAACCAAAGGTAGGAACATCACAAATTTGAGTAAACACTGATGCATGACAGGGATTTATTAGCACAAGCCTGGTTCAGATTTCAACTCGGGCTCTTCTCCTCTTTGTGGAGTTTGTGTGTTTCTCTGGGTTCATTCCTCGTTCCAGGAACATGCTGTTTAAATTACCTGCTGATATGGGGGGGTTGGGGGTGTGCGCCGAGAGTATGGGGTACCAGGCCCTCTGATAAAGGCTATTAGGTCCCTGTATGACCGGTGTCAGTGCTTGGTCCGTATTGCCGACAGTAAGTCGCGATCATTCCCATTGAGAGTTGGACTCTGCCAAGGCTGCCCTTTGTCATTGATTCTGTTCATAACGTTTATGGACAGGATTTCTAAGTGCAGCCAAGGTGTTGAGAGGAGCCAAATGAGGTGGTTCGGGCATCTGATTAGGATGCCTTCTGGACACCTCCCTGGTGAGGTTTTCCAGGCATGTCCAACAGGCACCCAGGACATGTTGGAGAGACTACATCTCTCAACTGCCCAGGGAACACCTTGAGGTTTCCCCGGAAAAGCTGGCCCAAGTGGCTGGGGAGAGGGAAGTCTGGGCTTCTCGACTTAGGCGGTTGCCCCTGCGACCTGACTCCAGATAAGTGGAAGAAAATGTATAGTGATGGTAATTTAGCAAATGGTCTGTATTTGATATAGCGCCTTCTAGAGTCCTAGAAGCACCCAAGGTGCTTTATGGCAAAATCAGTCATTCACCTATTCCCACACATATTCACACGCTGGTGGGGATGAGCTACATTGTAGCCACAGCTGCCCTGGGGCACACTGACAGAGGCAGACTACTGAGCACTGGTGCCACCGGCGCCTCCGACCACCACCAGCAGGTGGGGGGGTCTTGTACAAGGACCCAAGGACGCAATGTCAGCGACAAACCTGCAACATTCCAATTATGAGGCGAACACTTAACTCCTTTGCCACCATCACCCTTAGCGTAAGCTGGAAGCTTTTGCAGGAACTGCCAAATATAGGAAGTGCTTCCTTTGTTAAGGGTTCGTTGTTAAAGTTGTGGACCAACCAGATTTAAGAAAGATTTAAGAAAGTTTCATAGGCGTTACCAAAGAATCCTCAGACGTCCTCATTCTCAGACACTTAGCTCAGCATTTTCACTACACAGGTTCATACAACATCCATTGCTTGTATTATCATTAGTTGTACACAAATGAGAAAAAATGCAAGCAAGTGCAAGCAAGTACCAGCAAGTTTTGGTCAACTTCAGACCTCCATACATTCCTTGCCATTATCGTGAGAGTCCACATTCTAGGAGCTAGATGGACCGGCGAGGAATAAAGTTAAAGTCCCATAGTCATCATCACACACTGGTGAAATTCATCTCCGCATTTGAATCATATCCATGGGGAGCGGTCAGCTGCAGCAGTGGCTGTGCTCAGGAACTATTTGGTGGTTTAATCCAACCCCTTAAAGCTGAGTTTCAAGCAGGGAGGCATTGGGTCCCATTTTATAAGTCTTTGGTGAGACCCGACCAGAATTTGAACCCCGATCTCCCAGTCCCAGGGCAGACACTCTAGGCCACTGAGCTGGTACAACTCAAGCTTTGTCTCAGTGGAGGGCACCGGATGGATTTAAGTAGATGTTTGAACAATGTTGGACCAAGCGGAAGAACTAAAATCCCAACATAGGAGTCTTTTTTGTTTTATTTTGCAGAGTGGAAATGCGAGAAATACATGGAGGAGCTATGACGCGCTGGATGTTATTGATAGCTACAGACTGACAAACCAAGGTAGCGAGGCAGACCTGAACTCAGAAACTGCGCTCTGGAGTCACTTGTGGAAACTGTTGTTAAGCATTTCTTTTTAGTCTTATGCTTTGCAGACCATTTGATGGAGCACAAAAATATTGAATATTTGCACAACTGATTTATTGAATTTAGGCATGACTAGTCGTTTAATCATGCCTGGCAACATGAGAGCCCTAACTGCAATAGAAACGCTCGCCTGAAATTACAGACCCATACCAGTACACACCGTTCCACGATGATCGAACCCTGCAGATGGAACCGAGGCTTAAGTCTCCTCCCCTTCCGATCGGCTCACGTGTCCCCGGAACAAAGAAATGTTGAATGGAAGTGAATGGGGGCTATTATAGTTATTTTCTAATCCACTTTGCCTTATGCCCCAAATCACACATATGTTGTACTTCAATTTAAATTACAAGATATTATGTGTTGTTATGACATGTGTTTTGACTATGTTTGTCATGTGATTAGTTTGTAAAAATTCATAATTAAAATGACCACAAATCACTAGTCTCATACACGATGTTACCACAGAATGTCTTCTTCCCCAGTGTAGCTGCTACTTACCACATTTTATGTACAGCTAGACTAGTTTCTATACTGGTCCACTATAACTAGTCCACTATCTAACTAGTTGTACATAACTAGAGCTTACCCGTCATCTTAAACCTGTAATAGCAAAGTTGGAAGACAGATTAAAATAAAACATTTGTTCATGCCTCTAAACATAGGAAATATAAGCTGTCAAAAGCAGCATGAAAACTAAAGCACATGACTGAGATGTAGAGTGATTTTAAGTCTTTTTTACCTGGTTTCCAGAGGCACATTGCTACCCAGCACCCAGCTGTCTTGCAGCGGGACGCTCTCTGGATTGGTCTGCAGCTCGGCTGGTGATTCGCCAGGCACTGGGGCTGGGCTTTCAAAAGGCGGTGTTAGCTGCCGTGACAAACTGAGTGTCTGTCCAGTGTGATGAGCACAGCTCAGGGCTTGGTTCAAAGTTGTTACTGAGGGTTGCTGGTGGTGAGGGAGAGAGACAGGAGGCAGGCTGGAACCTTGATGACTAGCTGGCTGTTCTGTCAACAACAACAACAACAACAGTAATTATAACTAAGGTAGTCATGGGAAATAAAATACTTTAGTGTTCTGGTGCTCTTAACAGGTTTGGCTATTTGATTACCACATGTGTTTCCTTTTTAGGAAAGAAACATCAGGTATGTTGTTCATTTTAAAGTGTACTTTGTGAAAGTTATACAAATTCCTATCCAAACCATTTTAGACAGCGTCCCAACAGCTTTCGTTCTGAAAAACAGATTTCACATCCTTTACAACAAATGAACTGGTAGCCAATGGGAGTTCAGACAAGACTAACACACGTTGCTGCAATACAACACCTTTCCAATTGTTTAAGTCAAGGTCAGCTTTATTTGTATAGCACATTTACTACAGCGACTTCTGCCCAAAGTGCTTCACAAAGTAAAAATACTTAGCCTGGCCTGCCAGACTGGCCTTCTGTTTAATTCGGCACAGAGAAAGAGTCTGGTAACTCACAGGCAGAGAGGCATATGAGGGGCGAGTCTAGCCAGCTCAAAAATAACCAATCAGAATAAAGACAGAAATGCCGACTGTACCGAGCAACGCTGTAGTTTTTTAGTTGTAGTCAAAAATGGCGTCCGGTGACGGAGCAAACTTTTTTTTTAGAAGAAAGGCTTTTAGCGCTTCTACTTGTTGTTTTAAAGACATTCAAGTCATTTAGAACAGAGGAAAGAACCGCAGCGAACTCCGCTTCAGTCGCCATGTTTATCACAAACTCGGCGTTATGGTGTGTGACGTAGGCAACTCAGCGCTGATTGGCTCGGTTACAATTCTCAGGGGGTGGGGTTATTTGAATAGGAGAGTTACCAGACTCTTTGTGCAGAATTAAACAGAGGAGGAGTCTGGCAGGCCAGGCTAAAAAATACCATCACATCATCTTAATATATGGAGGGGAAATTTTAACATAGTTCTGGATCAGAACCTTGATACTACAAGAATGAAGAAAGGCAATAAAACACATATTTCAATATATAAACACTGATTTGAAGAAACTAGGAAATAAGGATTTCTGGAGAAAACTCCACCTGCTCGAATTAGACTATACTGTACGTACTATTCTGCCATTCACTTGGTACATACAAGGATCGATTTTTTTAATGAACATGGTTGATAGATTTAGACTTCAAGATTGTAAAATAGGAGTGGCAGATATATTTGACACAATAGTCTTCACTTGACACTTAATGTATGCAATGAGAAACATAATACAACATGGAGAATGAATGTTGGTGGATTAAACAACCCAGAGTAGGTAAAAGTGATAAAAAAAATTATGCATATACAAGTGCTAGTCATAAAATTAGAACATCATGACAAAGTAGATTTATTTAAGTAACTCCACTCAAAAAGTGAAACTGGTATATTAGATTCATGCATTACAAACAGACTAATATTTTCCAAATTTGTATTTCTTTAATTTGGATGATTATAACTGACAACTAATGACAATCCCAAATTAAGTATCTCAGAATATTAGAATATTAAAGGCTACTGATTCCACACTCTAATCAGCATATTAACTCAAAACACCTGCAAAAGCCTTTAAATGGTCTCTCGGTCTAGTTCTCTAGGCTACACAATCAGGGGGAAGACTGCTAACTGAAGGCTGGCTGTTTACATTGCTCTGTGTCCAAGCACATTATTAGAGAGGCAAAGGGAAGGACAAGATGTGGTAGAAAAATAAGAGTACAAGTCTTGGCACCCGCACATAGTGCCAAAGTTACCAGTACCTAGTTTAAGGACCATAGTATTCCTGTTCTTGATTGGCCAGCAAACTTGCCTGACTGTAAACCTGTAGAAAATCCATGGGGTATTGTGAAGAGGAAGATGAAATACACCAGACCCAACAATTTAGAAGAGCTTTTGCACAAAATGTAGCCGTTCATGGAGCCAGACTGTAGATGACTGATGTTTGAGGACAAACATACATATGAATACTGGTATGCACTGTACCGTAGAAAAAAGTGCTGGTAAGCTGAAAGGTTATAATTAAAAGTAGTGGCGGTACTGGTACTGGCCCAAACCATTGCTCTGTCCCTAAAAAGGATATGAGTCTGATCATTTGATCATCAGTGCCTCGTTGTCATGATCAGTTCCTGACTGCTGCTATTTTCCCTCCCCAACACAACCCACGCACCCACCGCACACTGTGTGATAATACAGCTGGCCCAAAAACTCCACCTTAGCTCGAACCTTTAGCCCAAGCAATAAGCGAGGATGTTGAGGTGACAGGAATTACAGTTAAGGACACAGAACCCAAAATTGGACTGTTCGTAGATTACTTCTAAATCTGTATAACACAACCAGACACATCCCTCTGAAACTTAGGGAAAAACTGGAATCTTTTTTCCAGGGTCTTGATATTACAAACTTAATATCAAGAAAACACAAATAATACCCATACATTATTTTCCCTCCCAAAATATTCAACAATCACATAATTTAAACCAGATATTAAAATGTATAAAATATTTAAGTGTGAATCTTGTCAGCGACTTATCAGGATTATGAGATCAACTATAGGACTCTACATCAAGACATTTAAAAAGACTTGCAGAGTTTGTTAGTGATACTAGGGCTGTAGCAAAGCCTCGATGGCGTCGACGGCTCGATTCTAAAAATTTAACGAAAGGAAATGAGACGACATGAATTATCACGTTAAATTTATTTTATTTTATTTTATTTTTTTTTTTTTTGAGGTGGCGACACTTTGAGAATGTTACTGTGGCCGTGCTCAAGACGCAGCTGTCTGGCTCGATTCTAAAAATTTGTCGACGTCAGATCCGGTAGTCGACGCACCACGCCCACTTGGTGCATCCCCAGGAGTTTGTAAATAGAAACTCCTGGGGAGTAGAAAATCACCGGGAGCATTTCTCCCTTCTTAAAAGGAGCTTCTTTCAGACATTAGGAGAGCTGTTTTGGTGGTAGCAGTCTCTCCTCCGTGCTGGTCTGTTTGCTGCTGGGTGTTTTTGGTTTATTTAAACTTGGTAACTTGAACTTAACGTTGGTAAAGCTACTGTTAGCATTTTCGCTAACAGCTTCTTGTGTTTGGATTAGCTATTACGTTTTGGCTTAGAGTTCATCTTTTTTGTGGTGTAGATCTCCCTTTTATTATATTTAGAGTGTTGTTGGTTTTTGGTTTAGTTTAAAATATCACCGTGAGTTTGGCTTAACCACCCAGTTTAGAGTTTGGACCTTTGGAGATACATATTTTGGTCCAGAACCCTGTAATCTTTGCCCAGTGGGACATCCCTACTTATTTGTACTTTTGTTTTAATTCCCCACAGGCAGAATTAGTTTTATTATTTCCAACCTGTGGATGGAAAGATTTATGTTTTTTTGTTGTTGTAAATAAACCTGATCATCATTTTAACTTTTAAATCCCGTGTAATTGTCCCTTCCTTTTTGGACACGAGCCAAACTCCCCAGGAAGGGTCGTAAGACCACTCGCCTCACGCACATAAGTGACCAAAACAAAGCAGCATGGAGACACTCTGTCTCCAACCACCTCTCAGGCAGCAGCCTGCACTCCCAAGTTCTACACGTCACCAGAACATAACCAACCGCAGCACAACAAAAGCAGTGTTATACAAAATGGAAGACCTGTAGTGTCTATTATTTTACAGTAACAATGTATCAATTTTTTTGAGGAATTATTTTTTGGTTTTTATTAACTGTGCAATAGAAAAATAATCATTGGATTAATTGTCTAAATAGTCATTAGAATAGTCGACTATTCGATAAAATAATCGTCAGAATAATCGTTTTAAAAATAATCGTTTACCCCCCAGCCCTAGGTGATACCCTGAGACTTTAGCTCAAGTGGAGCTGACGCCTTCTCCAAATCCACAAAACACATGTAGATTGATTGAGCAAATTCCCACGCACCCTCCAGGATCCTCTCAAGCCGGGCGTACACTGTGCGACTTTTTCACTTTTTTGAGCCGATTTTCCAGTTGTGCGAGAATCCACGACATCGGGGCGAGTTTTGTGCCGAGCAGTCGTGTAGTGTACAGGGGGTTACGAGAGGCGATTAACACCACGTGACCAGCTGCCGATCAGCAGTCATGAGGTCGCACGAACTTCTGGTGTGTTTAATATTTCGCTCGTCCCTCGTGAGGGTATCGCACTGTTGAAGCGGCGCTGCGAGCAGCTGCGACCCAAAAAGTATCAGAACCGCTCACGGCGCATGCGCAATCCTGCATCAACGCCGGTCGCTCGCTATTTCCCTAATAACACACGCTGTTCGTTTTTGTTTCTACACGTTTTTTTTACTCACAAAGATTGTCAAGAAAGTGTGTTTGTCGTGTTCATGTCAAATTAAACTGATCACAAAACACAGATTTACTCTCTTTATTTCGTTTTCCTCATCCAACCCCCATAAATCCCTGTGTGTCCTCCTGCAGCACTCCCGAAGGACAACAGGCAAGACAAGACAAAAAAGTCTGACGTGTTGAGTAAAAACTGCTATTTTAGCACATTTTTAGGTCCGACGTGTTGCTACCAGACGTACAGTGTGAGCAGTCAGGTCGCATGTGAGAACTGGGTCGTGCAGTGTGAGCACATGACTCGTGAGATCTGCTCTGCGAGGAAGTCGTACAGTTTGAGCTGAAGCTGAACGCTGCGAGTGAAAAAGTCGCACAGTGTACGCCCGGTTAAGGGTAAAGAGCTGGTCCAGTGTTTCAAGGCCATCGGACTCAAAGTCCCCAGACTCTGCTTCCTCACTGGAAGACGTGCCGGTGGGATTGATGAGGTCTTCGAAGTATTCTGCCCACCGATCCACAACGGCCGAGTAGAGGTCAACAGCACACCGTCCCCACTATAAACGGTGTTGGTAGTGTTGCTTTCCCATCCTGAGGCGCCAGATGGGGGACCAGAATCTCCACGAAGCCGTACGTAAGCCTTGCTCCATGGTCTCACCAAACTCCTCCCACACCCGGGTTTTAGCCTCTGCGACCACCCGAGCCGCATTTCGCTTGGACTGCCGGTACCTATCAGCTGCCTCTGGAGTCCCATAGGCCAAAAAAGACCTAATAGGACTCTTTCTTCAGTTTTACAGCATCCCTAACAACTGGAGTCCACCAGCGGGTTTGGGCGTTGCCACAAAGACAGGCACTGACGACCCTGCGGCCACAGCTCCGGTCGGCCGCCTCAGCAATAGAGGCACTGAACATGGCCCACTCGGACTCAATGTCCCCGCCTCTCCAACAACGTATCCTGGTGCCGAGAGCACATATAGTCACCTTTATGACTGAACATGGTGCCCATATTTTCAAAGTTAGCACACATTTCTTTTAGCAATGGTAGTTTTTGCACCTTTAGTGTTCCTCTGCTTCAGCCCTCTCCCCCCTCCCCCTGTGCAGGGGCCACAAACTCACTAGTGCACCTGCAGCCTCACCAGGTGCAAAAACAAACTTGTTTTTCATTTGACTATTTTCGGTCCTGTCTCTGTTTATTATCTTCCTGCATCTCCTCTCAATCCTAAAGACAAACTGCTACCTGGTTTCATAAATTTTCACGTCGGGAGTGAACTGCGTATAGCACAAGATGGTCGCGTGAGTTGCCGGAACCTAGCAGACAGTTGCCGGAACGGTCCTTTCAAAATAGGACAGTTCCCGGATCTTGTTTCGGCAAGATCCAGCTCAAATTAACCCCTGGCCATGTGAATCTGAACAAGAACTAGACCTAAAGCCGCCACCCATTGGACTTGGAACTGACATATATGGCGCTGCCGTCTGGTTCCAGCTCATTTCCTGCATGTTTTAGATCATGAACACAGCTGATTTGTTTAATTTAGTGATGAATCCCTCCTGTAGACACTAAGAGAGGTAGAGGAGACATTTCAGCTGTTAGATCAAGGTATTAAAAAGATAAATGCACAGCGAAGACATAAGTTTTGCTTTCAGTTCTACTAAACCAAGTGGTGGCAACCCTTCGGCTCTGGAGCCACATGCGACTCTTTCCTTCATCAGATGTGGCTCTCAATCCTTCTCACAATCCTTTCAAACAACAACACATTTATTTGAAGTGCTTCCATAAATTAGTTTCTGAGATACACCCTAACCCTAACTGTAACAAAAACGAAAACATAAATAGTAATAATTAGCAGGAGTCTAATATAATAATGTTAAATTTTTGTCGCTAATTTTTCAGTAGTATATAGTTTTCCTTTTCTCTCAATAACAATAACAATAATACAGAATATTTCATGAAAGTATACGTGAGGAAACAAACTGAAACAGAAACATCATTCGCGCTGTAATGGCATCAACCGATCCTCGAGGAGGGTGTACCGTTTGGCGGGTCTGCGATTCATCAAAACGTTCTTAGTGGTGTTGGAGTATGTCGAGAGTTTGAAGTGGGTGTGTGATGTGTGTAGGATGTTTGTCTAAATGTATTATTGGGAAAAAGCACAAGAAGAATCCTAAAGACTGGGACTGCAAAGAACTACAATTCGCGGGAAAATTATGTCAAAGCAAGTGATTGGGTGAGTGATAATCATGTGACAGTTGATGTTGACAATGTGATGACGTTTATTCTCGCGTGTGAAGCCCTGTGAACTACAGATCAGAACGACACAGTGTTTGTGTCTGAATGAAAATGTTTTTGTTTTTTGAGCATTTTGGTTGTTTTTTGCAAACAAATTAACAGAAATATGCAGCGCTCCGGGACATGTTCAGTTTGTGAGATTTAAGTGTAACTCCTCTGGTTTAATATGCAAAGAAAATTTTTGTTCTATCTTATATAGTTTCAGTTCTACAAGCATTTGAACACAGATATGCAAATGGGAGCGCCGGTCTTAAAGGGTTAAATGTCAAGATTGTCATCTTTTAAAAGTTTAGCAAAAATAATAGACCTGAAATAAATAAAACAATCTTGTCCCTTTAAATCATAACGTAGTGTGTGTGTGTGTGTGTGTGTGTGTTTTGCACCTCAGGCACTCGTCTAAACAACCTGACCAGTGTATCCAGAACGTTATAATTAAAAGATTTCACAGAACATTTCACCCGTGGCCCGACCGCACTCCATCCTTCTGCTCCACGTAAACCTGAACACATCCAACCTGGTCTCACGTGAGTCCAGATTGACGGGTCACCTGCTTGTGCGTGATCAAATGACTCTAAAAGCACTTTCTGAGCTGGAGGATATGAGATTCTGGACTTTAGCCTCTAACAGGCTCATGGATGCTCTATAGAGCCAAAATTTCATAATCAGGGAACATTTATTAAGTGACAATCTCTCTGAGAGACAGGGTTTGGGAAAACACTCGCTTCAGTGAGAGGAATCGTCCCCGCATGCGCTGACAACAAGCTGCGCTGAGCTTGATTGATTTAGCTGCCTCCACGATGTGCGTAACGATTAAAATGTCAGCGCATCTGCAGCCTTGAGTTTCTCAGTCAAAATAAATGGTCAAATACTGGAAATATCCGGTCAATGCGAACCCTGCCATTTATCTGTTTTGCCTTCTTGTGAATATTGTTGCAAAGAGAAGCAATTCAACTTGTTTTATACCAGAGTCATGCTCTCTGCATGTAAATGAGGGAAAAAAATAAAATTGATCGGATCCTTTACTTAACTTTTCAACACTTTAAAGTTTCATTCTGTACAACATTTAATTAAAACAATCCAATGAGACAGAGCCTGGATTTGTATTCTGAACAGTTTAAACATGTTTTAAAAGAAGACGTGAGTGACGCATCAAAAAGTGGCACCTGCTCAGGCCTGGTAGGCCAAACCACGCCGCCGCGGCTGCTGTGGCTCCCAGTGTTTTCTTTTCTGTGGGAAACGGGTAATAATGCTCTTTGATGGGAAAACGTTGCTGACTCCTGTACTAAATGGACTCTAAGGGGTGCAAAAAGCAAACCTAAAATGCCAAGCATGCTTTTAAGGTAGACTGTGATCATATATAGGGATGGGTACCGAATTCGGTACTTTTTAGGGTACCGACCGAATTCCACAGTACCGACCGAGCACCGATTCACTTCATTTGAAACGGTGCCTCGTTTCGGTACCTGTCCTTCACAACGAGAACTTGCCTAGACAGCTGCGCATGCGCAAGAGCGTTATGTCATCGGTCGCTGCGAGCCAGTTGTAAACAGAGCAGCATGGTAGAAAGAACGAAAGCTAAAGCTTGGGTCCACTTCACTAAACGTGATGGGTAACTGGGTGATGATGAAACCAGTGACAATGATCTAAGAGAGACATCCTCATCTTAATCTGCTCCGGTAGATAAATAAAATGTTTAAGATAACGTTAGCTTGATTTGTTAGCTTCCGTTTCACTAATGGTGCGTTCGCTTTCTCCTCGGAACTCCGAAATTCCGACTAGAAGAACATGAACGCGCTCTAAAGTTTGGCTTCACTTTACTAAATGTGACGGGTGATTGGGTGAAGATTAAACCAGTGACAACGATCTAAGTGTGAGGCATCATCGTTTAAATCTGCTCCAGCAGTTAAATAAACTGTTTAAGATAACGTTAGCTTGATATTTTAGCTTCCTATGCCACCATTGTTATCATCTAATAGTGCGTTCGCTTTCTCCTCGGAAATTCTAACTTCCCAGTAGGAAAAATCAAAGAAAAAGGACGGCAAAAGGAATGAAGATACACAGTAAATTTAGTTCACAGTAAAGATGTTTGCTTCAGTTTAATTATCAGCTTATAAAACTACAAGGACGATGTTAAAATACAAAAAGTTGTACGTTATTTATCGTGATATTTATCAAATATTGTTATATATTGAGAAAAAAATATATTTAATTATAAAAGAGAATTAAAAATATTAAACACTCAAAAGTATCGAAAATTGGTACCGTTAAGTACCGGTATCGATTCGTAGGTTCCGGGAATTAGTACCGATCGATTCAAATGTCAAAGGTACCCATCCCTAATCATGTATGACAACTGTATGAACAGTGTGCCAAATACTCAACCCTAATAAGGAGTGACATCAGTAACACCAGCAACCATCAATATCTGCAGGTACCGACAGCCTTTTGTGTTAGACATGACCATAATGACTCAACACAGGACTCAGTAGAATTTCAGCACTATGATTTAGTGTGAAACACTCAAGTGAAGTAATCAGTGATGACCCATTACCATGTGACAGAGGTGGGTAGAGGTGGTACTGGCCGTCCTCCTCCTCCTCTTCGTTCTCTTCATCTGTGTCTGGCTCAATAACTTGGCCTAACAGTGGGTTGACATGTAGATGGGATGGAGTGTGTGACTGGTCAATGACAGGTGATGGGCGAGAAGGGGAGGGCATGGGAAGACCTACAAAAAAACAAAATCAAGAAGAGAGAAAAGAATGATGAATCTGAAGAAAGAAACAAACAAGGATGAAGCTGGTGTGATAAGATTGATGGAGTTACAGCTGCCGATGCTCAAGCTCAACCACACACAATCACACACGGTTGTTTTCTTGCCGAGTGTTAGTAGGTTGTAGCTGTCTTACGTTTCAGTTTTTATGCATTTTGCACTTTTGTCTAAAGCAGCACACATTTACATCACACGCATTTCTCTTGTTGAAGGAAACTGGAACAGCTGGAGAAAACCCATGCATGCAAAAGGAGGACGTGCAAAAAGGCAGTGTTGCCAACTCAGCGACTTTGTCGCTATTCCTAATGACTTTTTGACCCCCTCAACAACTTTTTTTCCAAAAAGCACCTAGCGACAAACCTAGCGACAATTCTCTGGACCCTTTGTTGCTAATCTGCAGGGAATATCAACAAGAAAGTTCTACAGAAAGTAGCAAAGAAACCATTTGCACTCTGAACCGTTCTTCCAGGAATGAGGAAAGAGAATGATAATCTGCACATATGCACAACGACTGACCAATCACAAACCGTTTCAGCCGGACCGAAGACAAAGGAACAGCTGCAGAGCTGGAGACCACCGATTTACACCTGCTGCTGCTGCAGACTAACGCTTCTACTAGAGACAGCACAGGCGTCGACCTGTGATCTCTGGTTCTGCAGCCGTCAGACACTATGGCCCAATCTCAATACTCGCACTTGCACCCTTGTGCCCTTCATTTGCGCGTTCCCGGCAACGGGTGCGAGTGCGTAGGGTGTCCCAATTCTCAAGTGCGGAAGTTGACCATGCATCCATTGCATCCTTATTCTGCACTTCACCCAAGCCCACAGTGATGCGGACCTCGGGCAAGGGTATTACCCACAAGTCATTGCTGCAGGAGAAAAGGCTCAAGTTCCTTTGCTGAAAATATGTTTTTCTAATGAAATTAGTTAATTTTTAGGACGATTAGTTGATGCTCCGAGTGTTTTAGGCAAAGCAGCAGGTTAAAATTATTTGAAATAATTGCTTTGTTGTTTGAAACTTGTTAATAAAGGTTTTTGAATTAAGTTTCACAGCGACCACTATCCCGGCGATCGATGATGCAATGCTCCCTGTCTCAATTCTGCAATTATTTGCACACTTGTGTGCTACGCACTTGAACCCTACTGTGCACTTTCTCCAAGTGCACTTTGCTGAAGACCGCAGGGCGCAGTGTGAGTATTGAGATTGGGACTTTGGCTTTTCCTGCATTTGGCAAATGAAGTCAATGGGATTTTCAACTACCATCCAGTTTCCACACGCAGCTCTGTGGCTCATCTGAATTTTCTTCAGTGACACAGGGATGGTTATACCATGAGAAACCTGCTCCCTTTTGCTCGGTACGTTGTTCACAACAGAGAAGATGAGAAACTAGAAGGTGTAAAACAACAGCTTTTTGGGAAAATGTCTGTGAGAATGAGGAGAGCAGGAGGTCAGAAGTATATCCTATAACAGAACTGTTCGTATCACCACACCATATCTGTGTTAATGTCACTTTATTTATACTTTTGGAATTTATTTTACATATCAAAGCAATTTGGGCCATTTTAATCATACCAACTAATAACTTTAACACATAAGTTTTTGATTTTACTGCCTTTATATATATATATATATATATATATATATATATACACACACATATATATATATATATGTGTGTATATATATATATATATATGTATATATATATATATGTATATATATATATATATGTGTGTGTGTATATATATATATATATATATATATATACATATATATATATACACACATATATATATATATATATATAATATATATACGTATAATTTCTTTTAGATGCTATGGGGAAAATGGACGCCAATGTGGCGTGATGACGTCATAAATATGCAAATTACAGGGTATCTGCAGGTTTAAGGGAGCCAAATTTAAGACTTTTTAAGACCTTTTATAAGGCCACTTTGACCAAATTTAAGCTATTTTTAAAATTAAATTTAAGCGATAATTTCCAGCTATTGCCTGGAGCCGGTGCTAACCACGTCGTGAACGTGGGATTAGCCATCCAGTTACAATTAAGCTTGCACTTCCCCATGGTGCAAACTCCCACTAGCTTAACCAGCTAATGTGCTCATCTAAAAACAGCCCCCTTTCACAACCAACTGAATGTGTACGGTTCCGCTTACGCCAACATCGTACACAAAAAATGCTGAACATTAACTAGAAATTCACGAAAATTTTTATAGAAATAAAAGAATCTTGTTTTTTGGGTCTTTGGTAATTTAAGACCTTTGGAAACTGGATTTAAGGATTATTTGTCATTTTTAAGGATTTTCAAGGCCTTAAATTTGGAAAAGCAAATTTAAGACTTTTTAAGACTTTTTAAGGACCCGTGGATACCCTGAAATTAGCATCTGGCGATATTTGGGTGACTTTCTGCATCAACTTAAGCTACTTTCTATCGGGGGGGGGGGGTGGCAACACTGGGTGGTGGTTTAGCTACTATTTTTAGACTCATTCCTTTGTAAACTGCTAGTGTGCTAGTGGTGATCATGACTCTTTTGAGTATCTTTGTTTTGAACTCAAATGTACCTCCAAGTTAATAATGTTGGCAATCTACAGGCCTCCAGGGTCATGCAGTTTTCACTGAGCTCCTTTCTGTTATCAGAACAGACTTCGCAAATCATCTCAAAACTGATGACTTTAATAGTCATGTTGAAGATGTGAATGACAAATCTACTGAACAATTCCTTGGAGTATTGAATCCTGCGCTCGTGATCTCACCGGCCAGGACCAGAGATCACACAAGACCAGCTCTCCATCTTACTGATCCGAATCCTTTAAGCTTGCTGACTATTACCCGGGCCTGGAACTTCAAAGGATTTGTTGAAGCTGGTGATGGGGAGATGCGGCTAGACTCTATCCACATACATCTGAGTGTTACACCCGTTTCCATCCAAAAACGTCTTCCCTGAGTGGCCTTAGCAGTGAAAGAACACATACAGACATGCTCATTAACTTTGAATCTCCCGTTTTTTAATTCTGGCTCTTGTCACTGATCTAGGTTAAATTCTGTAACTTGGAAAAAGAGCTAAAAGCGTGTTATTTTATAATCCGGTTAAGACCATTGGCAAAAAAAACCTCCTATTAACCCTAACCCTAATGCTTTACCACCATGGAATTGACAATTCACAAAGGGAATGTCCACAACTATACTTTATCTAGTTTGGTAATTTTATTAAGCACAGCTTTTAGCAAGAGCAGGCAAACAGCTCCAAAATAACATTTGATTGGTTGAGGTCAGATCAAAAATCAACAATAAAAAGTCTGAATTAATAGAATGAATTTACTGATGTTCACACAGTCATTGCAGAGCTGAAACCACGAAACTCTTTTTGTAAATAATCCTTAATTTGGGTGGATGGACAGAGGAAAGCCGATAAAATCCGTTTTAAGGATTTTTCCTGCTGTTTAAGGAAAGTGATCAACCTCTCTACTCCTACTCCAATTGACTCTCGGTCCTGAGCTACGTCTGGGTGGGAATAGAAAAATCAATGGAAAAATAGATTTTAACTAAAAGCTATAACCCGAAAGAACCACGTGAACGTTGGAAACCGGCAGTTGTACAACGAACTTAGAGCATCTCTAATTGCTATAAACACTGGGGTTGGCAAATTGGAACGTCTTCAGGTCTGTTTACAGGAAATCCACTAGTCTTCTTAAAGCTGCATTCCTTAATTTGGAAAACAAATTAGCTTAAAACATTTTTTTCATGCCTCTTAACAACGTGCTAACGTAGCATAGCTATAAATATATTGTGGAGATTTAAAAAAAAAATTAATAAAGTTGCTCTCTCGAATTTGTCTAAAAACCTCAACCAATCATTGTTTTCGGTCCGAAAGCAAGAATTGGACAACTTGTTTGTGTGTTTCGCCGAACCGCTGCATTTCTGCACGTCTCTGTGTCCTCCATTTTGTGCACAGACTAAATTTTCAATTACCAGATCACCATGAAACCTTTAAAATGCAGCTGTGCACTTACAACTCTGAATTAAATAAGACAAGACAAGCCTTTTTCTCCCAAGTTATTAGTGATAATAATAATAACAATTCCTGTGTCCTGTTTGCTACTGTTGAGAGGTTAACTAATTTCCCAACACAGTTAAACCCTGATTTCATATCCCAAACTAAGTGTAATGAGTTTGCATCCTTTTTTAATGACAAAACCAAAAACATCAGAGAGTCAATATCCTGCTTCATAATAGGAGTCAGTCATGACCAGACAAAACGATCAGTCAACAAAAACCAGACCTGCTGGCAATTTTAAGTTTTATGCCTCTATATCGCCCTCTTCGTGGGCTGCACTCCCCCCCCCCTCCCCCTCCCCCGACCGGGAGCCTCTCGGCAGGAGGCAGTTTTCTAAAAACCCTGAAACTTGATATACAAACACACCCATAAGTGTTGCTCAGCCTGAAGTTACACATCTCCACTACCACCTGGTGTGAAGTGGTAACTTCATGAGGGATCATATTTGTAGCTAGGGCTGGACGATAATTCAATAGTTCAATGTGTCTATTGATAGACATGTGATGCGACAGGGAAAAAAAAGGGTCGATAAAGCTTTGATAAAAAAAGTTTCCTTTTTTCTTTAGGTAGCAGCATACTAGACTCACTTCTTACTCCTAACCAATTAAAACCACAGTCTCGGGCATGATTCGTCACCAGGCCCTCCCCCCAAACCAAAACAGAGCATGAGGCAGCAAGATTTCGCAACAAGAAGAGGCAGAGAAAAAAATAAAAAATCCAAAAATTAAATGGCCAGGGCTGCATATTAAATGTATTTTCTACAATTTTTCTAATATTTCTCAATATTTATCGATATTGATCAATTAAAAAAATATCAATATACTATTTTTCTATGTCGTCCAGCCATACTTGTAGCTGTGGCTTGTTAAAGTCAGCAAT